ACCTAGACACCTTCCTTTAGCATACATGATAGGCAAGAGTGATGGCAGCAGTTTCCTCTGCCATTAGCCAAAAGTCTCTTCACTTTCATTGCTGAAGACTATTCTGCTGGATGCAGAACTGTGCATTGATTCTATCTTTTTATCTTTTCCTCTCAGCACAATAAAATGTTACATTGCCTTCTGGCCTCCACTACCTCTAATGAGGTGTGTGGTGGTTTGAATAGGTATGGCCCCCATAGACTCATGATTTGAATGCTTGACCCACAGGGAGTGGCACTATTAGGAGGTGTGGCTTTGTTGGAAAAAGTGTGTCACTGTGGAGGCAGGCTTTGAGGTCTCCTATGCTCAAGCTATACCCAGCATGGCACACTCCTTCTGCTGCTGTGGATCAAAATGTAGAACTTTCAGCTCCTTTTCCAGCACCATGTCTGCCTTCATGCCGCCATGTCCCACCATGATGATAATGGTCTAAAATTCTGAAACTGTAAGCCAGCCCCAATTAAATGTTTTCCTTTGTTTTTTGTTGTTGTTATTGTTTTACTTTCTTTTTTAAATTTTATTTTTTATTAAGAAATATTTTTATTCATTTTACATACCAATCACAGATCCCCCTCTTCTCTCTTCCTACCCCTCCAACTTCCCCCCCCCCCAAACTACCCTCATTCCCTCCTACAAGAAGGTAAGGCCTCCCATGGGGAGTCAGCAGAGCCTGGTACATTCAGTTGAGGCAGGTCCAAGTCCCTCCCCCTGTCTCAAGACTGTGTGAAGTGTCCCACCATAGGTAGTGGGCTCCAAAAAGCCTGCTCATGCACCAGGCATGGATCCTGATCTTACTGCCAGGGGCCCCTTAAGCAGATCAAGCTACACAACTGTCTCACTTATGCAGAGGTTCTAGTCCAGTCCCGTGGAGGCTCCACAGGTGTTGTTCTAAATTTCATGAGTTCCCACTAGTTTGGTTTTGTTGTCTCTGTAGGTTTCCCCATCATGATCCTGATGCACTTGCTCATGGAATCCCTCTACTCTCTCTTTGACTGGACTCCTGGAGCTCGGCCTGGTGTTTCGCTGTGGATCAATAATGGAGAGGGTACCTGAACTGGCTTACCCCAGGAATCAGATCAGTGAGTACCCTAACTATCATCATAGTGTCTTTCTCCAGTAACTGATGGAAGCAGATGCAGAGATCCACAGCCAAATGTTTTCCTTTGTAACAACAGTTGCTGTGGTCATGGTGTCTCTTCACAGCAATGGAAGGCCTAACTAAGACATGGTGCTAGCAAACTGTTCTACTGTATGCTACATACAATATTGACTTTCTACAGCTCCTTCCAAAATGTGGCATTATCTTTGTTTTAAGTAGTTCTGTCACAAGCCACAGTGTGGTTTCTCTCATATTTTCATTTTACATAGTCTTTCTTGAGTTTCACTAAGTTTCTCATCTATAATCTTTCAATAAAGTTGGTGACTTTCATCTACTGTTTAGGCAAATATTGTTCTTTCCTGTTCTCTTGTTTCTAGCATTCTCACTGCAGAAGCTAAAACTATCAATATGACATAATTTCAAAATCAACTAAAGGCTCTCCCCACCCATGCTCTTTAAATTTTATGATTCCCATGGACCTGCCAAAGTTTACTATTTGTGATGTTATGCTTAAATCTTCTGTTAAGCCCACTTAGAAATTTCTATTTCTAGTTAGTTTTTTAATTCTAGAATTTCCATCTGTGTCTTTATACGGCTACAGAGACCTATTTGTTTATTTACTATAAGTTTCCTTTACGTCCAGTCCTTGTAAAATAATACACTTTTATTTCACATAAATTTTAGTTGGCTGACTTTTTTCCTGAGTATGGGTCACAGTTTTTAAATTCTTCACATGTCTATAAATTCTGGGTTTTTTACTGTGCATATATTATATAAATTCTAGATTGTGTTATATTAACATAAAGAACATAACTTAATTATTATTAGTTAGCATATAAAGTAATGGGTTTTGTGCTGTCAGAGTACAATCAGAATACATTATATACATGTATGAAATGGTCAAATAACAAAATTAGTAAATAAAAATGTTTCATTATAAAATTTTCATACATGTATGACACATACTTTGATAATACCCCCCATAACTATCTCTTTTTGTCACTCTCCACTCCTGCCAGCACTTGCTCTTCTACCAGTTACTATTCCACTTTTCTGATGTGTGTGTATCATATATACATTATATATATATATATATATGTATGTATCTATGTATACTTAAATTACACACATGTATTATAAATCTAGGTTCTGAATGTGGGAGAAAATGTATTTGAGTCTAGCTGATTTGGTTAACATGACGATCACCAACTCCATCCATTTCCCTGCAATTAACTAATCTCATTTTCTTTATGAAGCAGAGAAACACCATTGTGCATACACACATTTATTCCATTCACTGGCTGATAGATGCTTATGCTGATCCCATATCTCAGCTACTGTGGATAACGCTGTGATGAACATGGACATGCAGGTAGCAGCATGGAGTAACTGTATCATACAGTGGTTCTAGTTTTGGTTTCCTAGAAACCCCCGTAGTAACTGACATAGCATCCACACTAATTTATACCCCCACAGGTATAACGTCTCCTTTTGCCTTGTATCCCTGACAGCATTTGTTGGTTGATTTATTTGTACTCATTTTGACTAAGGTGAGATGGATTCTCAATGTGGTTTAATTTGTATTTTCCTAAGGGCTAAAGATGTTGAAATTTTTTCAGATATTTGTTAGCATACTTTTGCTTCTTTTAGCAATGATCTGTTCAATTCATTAGCCTGTTACTGACTGGATGATATGGCTTCGGGGGTTTTAAATTCTGGAGTTCTTTATATATTCTAGACATTGACCTCTGTTAAGACACAAAGCTGGCAAAGATTTTCTTCCAGTCTGTGGGATTTCTCTTTAATCTTTGCTTGTTTCCTTTACTGTTCAGCTTTTACATTTCATGAGTTTCCATGTCATCTGGGTGGGCAGGCTAGTAAGCCTCAGTTATCCACCTGTTTCCACCTCCCCAGTGCTGGACTTACAATCATGTGCCACCATGCCTGGTTTGCAGAATTTGGCTTGGAGTTTTCAGGGTTGTTGTTTTGGGTATTTTTGTTTGATTGTTTGGGTTTTGTTGGTTATTGTTTTAATTTTTTTAATTAATTTATTTATTTGGAGTTAGGGTTGGGGATGCCACAGCATACATGTAAGATCAGAGAACAGTTTGTGAGAATCAGTTCTCTCCCTTACCATGTGGGTTCTGGGGGTCAAACTCTATCAGGCTTACAATAAATACATTAACCTACTGAGCCATTCCACTAGCCTGTTCTTTGTTTGCTTTTAATGTAGGTTCTGGGGCCCAAAGTTGGGTCCTTGTGCTCACAAAGCAGGGCTTTATCAACAGATTTATCTCCCCAGCCTCAGAAGAAAAGATTTGTTTGTAAGCTGATTCTCAGCATACTCAGCACTAGTATACAGAGGATGAATTTTTTGAACAGTTGGATTGGCTGGATTCAAACTCAGGCAATGTGGTGAGCAGCACAGTTACTATAGTTTACAGGCATAACTCATACTTTGGATGCTACTACATCTGTTTGTAATACCCATTTTGTGACTCTGTTTTCTCCAGGCTCCCAACTCCATCTTCAGCTGCCAAATAACCCTAAGCTTGTAATTCCATTCTACTAACTCTCTACTTTTCCTAAAGTTAAAATCTGCAGCCAGGCAGGGAGGCAGAAGCATTTGGTAGACAGAGGCATGTGAATCTCAGAGCGCTCAAGGCCAGCCTGGTCTACATAAAGCAACCCTGTCTCAAAATAACTACCTGTTAAATAGAGACTGTGAAGGAGGAGCATCCCACAAGTCATTGTCCCCCACTTACTGCCTACTTTTGGGCCCTCAACATTTTAACCACTTCATTTTTAAGTTATTTTCTAATGTTCATGTTTTGTACAAGAGTGAATTAGCCTAACATCCCAGGAAAAAAAGGAACTGCTGAAATTGTAGGTAAAGGGGAGTTCTTTAAATAATTTTATGGCATCATTACACTAAAAATTGTTCAAGCTTCCACTGCAGGGAATCATTACTTCAACTAAAAGAAATTAGGAGACTGTGTTACATATAGGAAAAGCCATTGAATTTTAACAGAATAGGGGGTAAGCACTTTTACAAAATTTTTGCTGCACTCTATAGCTAATAGCATCTTCCCTCTGCCTGCTCTTCTGTTCACTCCATCCAAACAACTTCCATCAGATGCAAGACCAAGGGAAAAATGCTTCCTGAACTTCCATGGTGTTGGTTTGTGTTTGTTTCAGGGACACATTGTTTTTCATAACATGCCTAGTGTGTTATTACCCTTTATTAAGAAAGAAAAATACGGGCTGGAGATATGGCTCAGAGGTTAAGAGCACTGCTTGCTCTTCCAAAGGTCCTGAGTTCAATTACCAGCAACCACATGGTGGCTCACAACCATCTGTAATGAGATCTGGTGCCCTCTTCTGGCCTGCAGGGATACACACAAGCAAAACACTGTATACATAATAAATAAATAAATCTTAAAAAAAAAAAAGAAGAAAGAAAGAAAAATACATAATAATAGCAAGATAGAAAAGTATCTTTCCAATATATTTTCCAACAACTATTGGTATGTTACAGTTCACTAAATTTACTTTCTAATGAAAAATATTTAGGTATTAAATGAGAGAAGATCCACTTAAGAAAGTTAGCCAGGAAGTGGTGGTGCACGCCTTTATCCCAGCACTTGGGAGGCAGAGGCAAGCAGATCTCTGAGTTCAAGGCCAGCCTGGATCTACAGAGCTAGCTCCAGGACAGCCAAGGCTATACAGAGAAACTCTGTGTCGAAAGACAAACAAACAAGAAAGTTTGCTGCTTATAAGTGACATAGGTCAGGTTTCCTTGGAGTCATCTCTGTGCAATACACTTCAAATCTCTGCATTATTTCATCACACATCTTCTTACCTTTTGACAGCTTCGGTCAATAGGATCCACTGGAGTAGCTCTAGGATGAGTTACCCTTACATCATCTCTTCCACATTCAAGATTGGACCATAATTCAGTTATAAGTGCACTAATGAAGCCTAGGAAGAAGTATTACTTATGTCATATTTATAGCATAATTTATACTATAGTATAAAATAGTATAGTCTGGTTTGTGGGAGACAGGATTATTCTTATGAAAAGACTTATTTGCTATCACAGAGGAAAACATTTGCATCTTTCAAAAATAATAGTGTAATCTCTACCCTTGATAGAAGTGGTACTTGATATTGTTACTAAATGTTTATGATATCCCATCACCCTGCACTGTTAAATAAATCATGGGAAAGTATTTCCCTGGAGATTGTAAAGAATGTGTTCAGGAGTTGGGGGAAGAGAAAGGAGGCACCAGCAAGTCGGGCAGGCATCCAAAGAATATGCTCACTTAATTTAATATTCATTTATAATTCCATGTTTCAAACAATTCTGAACTTTCCTCCCATGCAGCCTTTAAATTCCAAGTCAAACACTAAATGAAAATGAATATTAAAGCTGATATTAAATTTTTCAAATCATATACTGTGTATAAAAACCTAACATCTAATCATAAAGTCAGTATGCCTTAATTTCTGACCACATTCTAAGTATTTGTCCTTATACCCACAGATAAGTCCTCACCACCCTCCAAGGAAAGTTCTCTTTCTGAAAGATGGAGACTGTTACAGAGAGTCACAACACATCAAAATGCAGGGTGGTGAGCCCCATCCCAACTGATGCATCTACAACACAAATCCCACACCCAAGGCTCAGGAAACACAGAAGAGAGGGTGCTGAGATGGTAAGAACCTGAGGTCAGGGGGTTTGCTGTTAGATTGTGTCTCCCAGTTCTGTCGAGGGTTACATCCATAAAATCTACCAACATCACTGTCTAGACATGAGCTGACAAGGACAACAACAAGTTGACAAAGTGGACAGGAGGGAAGCCTAGGGGAGCCACCACCCTACAGTAAGAACTGCAGGCCACTAAGGAATGCTAAGAGCAGGAGAATGTTCTTCCCCAGAGCAGAGCACACCAATGTGTTATCCAACACCAAAGGGTCAGCCCTAAGAGCATACGAGTAACATTAGAGAGACTGAGCAGATTGTACTTATGATCTTAGGGATGGATAGGAATACACAGATATGTATGCAACAACAATGAAAAACAAGGCCATGAATTTTAAAGAGAGCAAAGGGGTATCTGAGAAGGCTTTCAGGAAGGAAAGGGAAGGGGGGACATAATGTAATTTTATTAAAATATCAAAAACCAAAATAAAATTATGACAAACCAATATGCTTCTAACAAAACAAGAGAAGTGTTTTCTGGCACAACTAACAAAAATGCAGGCTCTGCCGGGCGGTGGTGGCGCACGCCTTTAATCCCAGCACTCGGGAGGCAGAGCCAGGCGGATCTCTGTGAGTTCGAGGCCAGCCTGGTCTCCAAAGCGAGTTCCAGGAAAGGCGCAAAGCTACACAGAGAAACCCTGTCTCGAAAAACAAAAAAAAAAAAAAAAAAAAATGCAGGCTCTAAAACTGAGGATACTGGGGTCTAATTTAAGAGACTAATTTAAGAGTTTATTAATTAGTTTGCATTAACTGGGGGTGAAAGTCCCTCATCTTCTACCCAGGAATTTTGGTAACTGTGGGTGAAAGTCCCTCATCTTCAGAGACCAGGGAATTCTGGTATTTGAGAATGGAAATTCCAGAGTTTCCACAGTGTACAAATGGAACAATGCATGTAATGTAATGCCAATGCAGCTCCTGTAATGTAAGTAACGTAAGCACAGGGATCTGTAGTCATCCTATAACCTGTGTAGAATTTCATTTAACCATCTCAAGAAAAGTTGGAGAGGATGGGGTTCAAATGCTTAACTACTCGATGACAAGTAAATCTGGGGTGAAATCTAGCCTTCAAATGGATCTATTAATATATTCCTTTGTACAGTGCTACATAGATTTGTCCTAAGTAGAAGAAAAATGTGCTTCAGCTCAGGGCCGGTTTTTTCAAGGAACATATACACACAGAGCCCAAATTGGTTGAACAAAAACTAAAATGTAGCAAAATATTTTGGTTTAAGTAGCGAACCAACAGTGATCAGTGATGCTGATATAATTTATCACCTCCAACTGGAAATTCCTCTGCTATATCACTAATTATGTGAAGCTCAATAAATTAAACATGGGCATACTACAATCACGGTGGCTTACTTTCCTTCAAATCCAATTGACAGCAGAGAATATATACGGAGGGCAAATTTCAAAGTGTGTGTGAAGGCTACAGAGAGAGGGAATGCTTTCTAGAGGGCAGGGGAATGATGGGAACAAGACAGTGGTACAGATACGTGACAGCTATGCTGACTGGACATCTGGATGCACATCGAAGTCTACTAAACCAAACACTGGGCCATTCTGTCAGGGAAAATTAATTACACCAAGACTGATGACATTCTTTAGGTTTATAAGGTCGAGAGGGATTCTTTAATTGAATAAGTTTTAGTACAGATCATTAGGTACCACTGTTCTAAAAATAAAAAGGTAGGATAAGAGTCTCTACATGTCATAGGAAAAATAATCACCAGTGTAATTTCATCGAAAGCAAAGACAATCCTGTAAACTTTCTTTTTCACAGTCACAAACTGGAAAGAAGAAGTTTAGAATCAAAAATATTCCGGAACTTTGTCATGCTATTATTCATTTTATGAACAATGGTCACATTTTATTTATGAGGGAAAAAAAAAAAACTTGCCTGAATTTTGTAGCGCTACTGCCCCTGCTGCTGTGGATGCCACCTGTACAACCAAAACTTCATGGTCAAACTTCTTCTGCCTGTTTATCTAACATAGAGAATGCAATGAGAAACAAAGAACATATCATGCTGTCATATGCAATACAAACTCAGATGTACAGCTACTTACCGCTCTTTAACAACCAGAAGACTAGAAATGTTGTGGTGGTATATTGTTTGTATATACTGTTTGTAAGCTAGGAAATAAAGCTTGCCTGAAAATCAGAGGACAGAGCTAGCCACAGACTTCCTGTAGGTCAGGAAGTGGTGGCACACACCTTTAATCCTAGCACTTGGGAGGCAGAGGCAGAGATTCATCTGGATCTCTGTGAGTTCAGGGCCACACTGGAAGAGATTAAGCCAGTCTAAAAGAGAAACAGCCAGGCAGTGGTAGCATACACCATTAATCCCAGCACTAGGGAGGCTGAGACAGGAAGTGATATGGCTGGGCAGAGAAAGGAATAGAAGGCAGGAGAAGACAGGAGCTCTGGCTCTTTCAGGCTGAGGAGTTGGTGAGGTAAGAGGTGGTGGCTATGGTTTGCTCTGCTTCTCTGATCTTTCAGCTTTCACCCTGATATCTGGCTCCAGGTCTTTACTAAGACCAATTGGGATTCATGCAACAAATTTCCTTCAGGTGATAACAGCAGAAAAACAAACACCACCACCCTCACAGTGAATTAGTACTAATGTGGTATTTTTAACCATTTTATTTCTCATCTGAATTTAATCCTAGCTCTCTGACTTTCACAAGTCACTTAGTAAGGTGCTGAAGAGGTAAGTCCACAGTTAAGAGCACATACTGCTCTTGCAGAGGACCCAAGTTCAGTTCCCATAATTCAGTTCAATTCCCAGCATCCATATCTAGAGGCTCAGAACCACCTACCAGTCTAGCTCCAGAAGTCCCAACACCTTGGCCTCCGTGGACAACTGAATTCATACACATAAATACACATGGTTAAAAATAAATATTTTTGAAGAGTCACTTATTACTCCTGACTTTTTCTCATAAATAAAGGGACTTGCCGGGCGGTGGTGGCGCACGCCTTTAATCCCAGCACTTGGGAGGCAGAGCCAGGTGGATCTTTGTGAGTTCGAGGCCAGCCTAGGCTACCAAGTGAATTCCAGGAAAGGTGCAAAGCTACACAGAGAAACCCTGTCTCGAAAAACCAAAATAAATAAATAAATAAATAAATAAATAAATAAATAAATAAAGGGACTTATTTCTCATAAAAGGGGCTTAGATCAAGCAAAAATAGGATAGCTTCCAGCTCTAAATTCTATCATGCTATTATTACTAAATTGTATCATCCTATTATTACTTTTTAGGCTACTTCTTCATTTATAACCTTTTACTGCCAGATTCTTAAATGGATTTTTAAAAAATCAAAACAAAACAAAAACTCAAAAAAAAAAATGATACTTTCTCCTTAAAATAGCTATTTCTAGGGGATTCAATTTTTGTTCCTAAGAAGAGCTGCCCAATCCTACACATCAACCCATCTGTTTCTGTGTAAAAGTCCTTCAGAATTTGTCACTTTACAAAGAATAAACCTACTTGGGGTAAATACAGAAGGGAACCTATCCCATCGTATTGATCGGAATAAGGAGGTAAAGTGGCATTATAACACACCCATCAGACTCTGCTGGCCTATAAGATGTCCAGCTTCCAAACAGAGTTAACCATTCAGAATTCCTACTTTAGAACATGCCATTAAAAGCACCTGGCTTAACTTCAGACTCTTCAAACATAAAGTGTGCCCTCAGTTCTAATGGGGAAAAAAGGGGGTAGCTGAAAAGGAGCTAAATGACCTTGCTGAAAGTTAGATCTATTCATCAATTTTCTATTTTTCTATTGTTTATATCTTTAAAAGTTAGCCTTCCTTTTCAATCTTGTTAGTCATATTTCCCATTTTCCTTGAATTACAACCCATTGTTCTGCAGTGAGTAACACAGAAGTCCAGGAGGATACCTATTCTCCTTTTCCTGCATCTTCCTATCAAAAATTGCCTTACTCATAAGTCCCTCCCACCAGCCCAGAAAATTGGAGTATTAGTAGCCACATGGTTTGTCCAATTCCCACTTAATGTGTAGAGAAAACAAATTATCACAAGTTGGACAATTTATTAAACAAGGTACATCTTCATGTACACAGTTAAAAACTAGAAAAGAAGAAATCTGAGTTTTAGAATGACCATTATAACTAGACAGCTAACAGAGCCATAAAACATGTTTCATAACTAACCTGGGCTCCCACTCTCTCTTACACAAAATTAGGAAAACAGCCTAGCCTTCGGGATTTTTTGAAAAATATCTGAAGATGTAAATGATGAAAATATCTGGGATAGCAGGGCACATTAAAGTGTGATGAATATGCTAATGAAGAACTATCACTGTAAATTCCCAATGTCAAAGGGACAGTCTCTTGTATGCATGCTACCAGTATGATGCAAAAACTATTAGGTTTTGAAATTTACAAACATAAAAACGGCATCTAATTCTAGATGCATCATGTAAAGATATGCGTGCCTGATCTGAAGCACCTGAATGAAAAAGAAAATGTGTTTGAGTTGCTTGCAAGTTTTCATAATGATAAACAGTATCAACAAAGCCTGAACAGTTAATTAGGATACAAGGACAGCTCTAAACTCAGGTACAGAGGAATTAAAAATAAACTGGAACATTTGTAATATAAAAAGTGTGTGTGTGTGTGTGTGTGTGTGTGTGTGTGTGTGTGTGTGTGTGTGTGTAAGGGTATTACATATAATAAAATCCTAAATATCGGGTTGGGAAATGTGCACAGGGTGAAATGGAACTGGCAATCTGGAATAATACTAGAATAAAGTAAATAAAACAGAATGGGAACCTCATACAGATGGATGAAGTAAGTATGCCATAAACTGAGGAACAGGTGTAACTCTACTTTCTGTACTCAGGGTCCGCCTTCAATAAAACAAGATAAAAAAAAAAATGTATCAACATATACACACCTAACCTCACAAACCCATGAAAAAAACAGAGACATATTTAACTCATGCAATGAACATGAGGAGCCTACCTCAGAAACTATTTATTCTCCACAGACAGAGACAAGAAAAGGAGTTATTTCTTTTCTTATAGTTTTAAACAAAGGTAAGGGATTAGAATTTAAGAGAGTGAAAGGTTAGTACTTGCCATCAGGCCACATAAAACCATCAAACACAATAACTGCCAGAGATAAAAACAAAAAACAAAACCACTGTGAAAGGATACCCAAGATTGGGGACCTGGCGATATCTGTAAAGTGCTTGCCGCATAAGCATGAGTTCAGTGTGCCTGAACCCACATTTGGGGATGGAGGGAGGCAAAGGAGGCCGGGCTCAGCAGCACACACCAATAATTTCAACACTGAGGAAGAAGAGACAAGATGGCTGGCGATCCTTGGGGCTTGCTGGCCATATAGTCCGAAATTGGTGAGTTCCTAGTCGAGAGACCCTGCCTCAAAAAATAAGATGGAGCGCTTTGCTATCTTGCAAGATGGTGGGTAAAAATGGTAAAGGACCTGACACAAGGGAGAAGAAATCTGCAGCCAAGAAGGCTGAGGCCTTCCTAAAAGGGTCACCCCAAGGCTAAGAGGCCAAAAGGGAAGCCCCACAGCAGCTGAAAGCCCGACCTGGTTAGTGGAACTGGAAACACTTCCAATCTGTCATGAACCCAGAAGGGATATGTACTCAGCTGCTAAATCAAAGGTTGAAAGGAAACAAAACTTTAAAGGGGTGAGAGGATCTTGCCACTGTCACAAAGCCAGTTGGTGGTGACAAGAACAGAGGTTAAGCTTTGCAAGACACCTAAGGTGTCATCCTGCCAAAGTCCCACCAGGGAAGGGGTAAACCCAGGGGAAGAAGGCCTTCCATCATCATGGGAAAAGCTGCACACCGCACCATGCCCAGGCCTGACCAGCCTCAAAGGGGAGGTCACAGGGCACGAGAGTCTTCCTGAAACATCCTGGGCTTTGCTGCCTGTGGCTGGACTTATTTCCCTCCATCTCCTCTGCACAAAACACACTAGCAAGCAGCCACTGCCACCTCCACAAAAACCACTATGAGTGACGTTAAGATCCCCCAAAGACCTCGCTGATGCCTGCTTCAAGAAAAATAAGCTGGGTAAGTGCAGGCGCCAGGGATGCAGCTCTTTGACAGAGAACAGGGGAAATACAAGTTTACTACGCGGGGCAAGGTTGATAAGAAAACGGTCTGCAAAAGGTCAGGCTATTCCTCAGCTCAGGGATGTGTGCAGTCCTGTGGGGCTCTAACAAAAGGAATTTATCCTCACAAACTGGTGGTCTAAATCTCTGCCAAAAACCTAATTAAGGAACTGATATATCTATCTATCTATACATACATATATATATATGAAAGTAGAGAACAATTTAAGAAGGCAGCTGACATCGGTCTCTACATCCACCCAAGTGCGCGCGCGCACACACACACACACACACACACACACACACACACACACACACCACACAGCATGCCTTGATCCTGGCCAATGATCTATATAGGAGCTATATACAAAAAATAACCCTCAGAAGCATACCCAAGACTGCAGAAATGTAAGGATCTTTACTATGACAGAAAAAAAACAAAGCTGATTATGAGTCCATTACTTCAGGCTGCCTGATTAAATGAATTACCTGGTGAGTTTTATTTAACAGTATAACATAATCTCTCTAAAGGGAAGTTTGTGTCTTTTAAAACACCCAAGGCCTAAACCTTCATGGATACACACATTTAGCCCTAACAGGATTTTTTTTTTTTCCCAGAAGTTCTTCCCAGCTTTGGTACTATGGATGTATTATATCATGCTTACAAAACATCTGGAAAATTAACTGAAAATTTCAATTCCATCTGGCTGCTTTCAATTTCAAAATACAGCCATAGACACAAATCTCAACTACCTAAAGCTTTGCTTTAAAAAAAAATCAAGTGGTACAATCCATCCCAGAATTTTAACTGAAGCTTAATAGCCACATCTCACACAGACAGCAGAATAATGTTCTGAACAGCTTTTCTAACAACAACAATTCCCTTCCCTTAGAGCAGATGGTAATTCATACCTGGAGTTTTTTTGCATATTGGTTGAACATAAACATCACACATTCATTGATGGCACCTGTTCTCTGAAGAAGCAGCAATCCTTTGGGAGTGGCAGCAAAATTGAGTAAATCATCTAGCAAATTGTCTTCCCAAGCCACACTGGAACAGGGAAAGGACAGGGAAAGGGACATTTAATATCCTCAAAACTGAAAATAGTAAAGATTGGCATGGACAAGCATTGAACTGGTAGAGTATACATTGGCTACAGGTTGTTCAGTGGATATTACGAAACAATATGGAATCGGTGAGTGTTTTTCTCACTTCCGCTCTGACGGCTCCTCATCACTCAGTGAGTTGAGTATTCATTTCGGGTGCAGCACTCTGACTAAGCCTCGATTTTTTCATCCATGCCGTAATTTCCCATGATAATTCCGCTGCACTTGGATTCCCCGAACCTCAACTTTCCATTATTTTTGTGCCTTCTTTTTTTTTATTTTTTTATTTTTTTTTTTCGAGACAGGGTTTCTCTGTGTAGTTTTGCGCCTTTCCTGGAACTCGCTTTGTAGACCAGGCTGTCCTCGAACTCACAGAGATCCGCCGGCCTCTGCCTCCCGAGTGTTGGGACTAAAGGCGTGCGCCACCACCACCCGGCTTGTGCCTTCTTTTTATTAAAATACTTTTCTCATGTTCTAGAGCATAATATACATGTCTTCTCTTTTATTTTTATAAATTTTTATTTTATTTGAAAGTAAATAATAACATTTTTTCTCAAAACACAATTTTAAGGCTCACAACTTTCTCCAGAGGTTAAAAAAAATAACAGCAGAAACTGCTGTGGAATATTACTTTAACTATGTAAAGATGTGCTATACTTGTTTATGTTGCAGAATTTTGCTTTAACTATGTAAAGATGTGTTACATTTGTTTACATTGCAGAATATTGCTTTAACTATGTAAAGATGTGTTACATTTGTTTATGCTGTATTTGTTTAATTATGGAAAGATGTGTTGCTGTGGGATGTTTTTCTTTCTGTACGCTGTGAATATGTGTTGCTCTCACTGGTTGACAAATAAAGCTGTTTGGGCAATGGCAAGGCAGAATAAGGTCAAACTGAAGATGGAGATGAAGGCTGGAGTCAGAGCAGACACTGCAAGATGGCCAAGGAATAAGATGTGATAGAACCAGTAAGCTACGGGCCATGTGGTGAAACACAGATTAATAGAAATGGGTGAATTTAAATGTAAGAGCTAGCTAGTGAGTGTAGTGGGAATTTGCTCTGCCCGTGACCTTGGACTAATCTGGCCTGATGGACGTAGTGCTTCTTATCTGCCTATGTGACCACTTAAAAGGGAGGAGAAAGGGGGTTGCATTCTTTTGGGTGGCGAAGACAGGATCAGGCAGCGTGAAGCAGTGTGTGATCGGTCCCCAGCTTTCCAAGGATTCTGCTACTGGATTTATCCTGTATCAGTGAGTCTATTTTTAATAAAACCCTTAATAAATTGATATATACAGAGAGACTATTGAGGCTCTCATTACAGTGTGTTGCTTTTATTTATGCTGTATTTGTTTAATTATGTAAAATTGTATTGCTGTTTCATCTTGCCTGCCTAAGGCACCTGATTGGTCTAATAAAAAGCTGACTGGCCAATAGCTAGGCAGTAGAGGGATAGGCAGAGCAGGTGGGCAAAGAGAATAAATAGGAGGAGGGAGAAGAGAACGAGAGAGAAAAAGGAGACACCCGTGGCCAGTCAGCTAGGCAGCCGCCAGCAAGCTAGACATGGAGCAGGACATACAGAATGAAAGAAAGGTTAAAAAACCCCAAGGCAAAATATAAATGAATACAAACAAGTTAAATTAAAAGAGCTAGTGGGACAAGTATAAGAAAAGACCAAACATTCATAACTAATATTAAGTCTCCATATCGTGATTTGGGAGCTGGTTAGTGGCCCAAAACAAAGCCTACAACCACAAGAAAAGAATTTCAAAAATTCTACACTCCATAAATATATTGTTCAATTAACTTTTTTAGATACTGAGAATTTCCTAAAATTGAGAAAAATATACAATTTGTGTATGAATTAAAATATCACCAGAGGACCAAGCAAGTTAATTTAAGTCACAGAGATCAAGCAAACAGCTAAAATACAAGCAACAGCTGCCAGATAAGGATACTACCTATTAAACACGGGTGGCCATATTGTAGATAATAAGACTTGTCAAGAGCCACACAGTCCAGAAAGTACTGGAGTGGCAGCTTCAAGAACTGATGAGAAATGTCTGCCTGCCTCAACATTTATATATAATTAAACTACTTAAGAATAGGAACATGTGTTTGGGGTATGAAAGAATGTGTGGTGATGGTGTGGTTTGAAAGAAGAAACATTTCCAGACATAAAAGATTAGCTGGGTGTGACAGCATACATCTATAATCCCAGGAACTGGCAGAGGAAGAGGCGGAGGCAAAGGCCTGAAGATCTCAGTGAGGCTGAGGCCAGCCTGGCTTACATAGCAAGTTATAGATCAGACAAGGCTTCACAGTAAAAACCTAGATGTAAGCCACAAGACAAGACAGAAAGAGAGAGAGAGAGAAGGAGGAGGAGGGAAGGACGGAGGCAGGGAAGAAAATTTAGATATAAAGTATAGAAATAGTTCACCACTCTCAGATCTTAACAATCAAACCAAAACTATATTTGGAGACTAAAAAGGATAAAGGGAAAAAAAATAAGCTTATTGGGGAGAAAAGGCCACAAGTTACAAGCTGTGGAACAAAATAATTATAAAAATGGCCAAAACATATGATGCATCAGTATAAAGAAATAAATTAGATATTAAAAGAATTCTTAATATCTACAGCATTGAGGATTGTGGCATGTGTAAAAGACCAATGATTGATGAATATACATCAACCCCATAGTGCTTTTCAAAACACAATACCTAATGACTTTATACTATCTTTTTAAAGGAGACAGTTAGAGCTGAGAGATGATTCCACGGTGCAGTGGATAGTGCATCGAACTTCTAGCTAGAGCTGAGTATGGTGGCACATGCTTGTCATGCCAGCACTCAGAGGTGGAGCCAGAAGCAATTCGGTCAGTTCGAGGCAAACCTGGGCTACAAAGCAAGTTCTGAACGAGCCAGTGCTACACAACCAGCCCGTGTCTCAGAACAAAGAGAAAAATGTGTAACTAAATATGCACTAATGTTTTTGAGGATAATGTTTCTCAAAGAGCAAATATACAACTCATAAATTCAGAAATAGCTTGGGAAAGGGCTGAGGAGATGGCTCTCTGGATAAGAGTATTGCTGTGCATGCATGAACCCCCCCAGCACCCTGCCATGGAAAGGGGAGGGCACTGTGAGGCCTGTAGTAATGTAGTAATATCATTTTCTGAAAATAGTTCTTGCCTTTGGAGAGAATGAATTGTGGCCAGTCCTTGTGTCCAAGTTAGCAGTATGCGTTGAGATCATCTAGAGCTACATACTCAATCAGCTATCATACTGTGTACTCAGCCTGTTCACTCAAGTTCAAAGTGCCATTAAAACAGCAATATATATTACCTACTATGGCTTGTATTTCTCACTTAATTAGCTTTTACGATTTAAGCTAGATGCATAGCTTTAATCTTAAACTGGGTATTCTTCCATGTCCCTGACCCAGAAGTTTGTTTGTGTGTTATGGTAATCATTTGCTGAAAGTAACCAAGACACCGAAAACAACCTTGAAAAAAACAAATATCCTGTAAATGGTAGAAGCAACATGTGGATGGATACAGGATAATGTCTGTCTGAGGTTTCAAATGCTCTTCGGAATCAGCAGGCGCCAGTAAAGTAACTTCTTATAAAACTGTTGAAGATTTTTGTAAAAACGTATTCCGCATCCCTCTCCCATTCCGTTTTCTGCATTGTTCAATAAACACAGAGCAAAGCCCTTTGTTAGCAAGAGACATACCCCAGAGAATACAGACTGCAATCAAAAACTACAGACACATGGTAGCTGGGGAAGAAGAGGTTGAGAACTGAAGTTTGGGCTCACTTGGGCTAAACATCTCTTTTTAAAAAGTCTCTTTCTTATTCCTTAATGTGACATTGATGCAAAGGTCCACCCTTGCCTGAGGGTTTTAAGATACGCTACTGACTGGGTCACTGCCCAGTCATGAAAGTAGAATGGAAGGTTACTTGGGGAGAGAAAGGGGATTAGCAGGAATGGAGTGGAAAAAGGACAAGAGAAGGTGAATATTATAGGAATATATTATATACATTCATGAAAATGAAATAATTAAAAGCCACAATTATGTACAATTAATATATGCTAATCATTAAAGTAACTTTTAGAAAATTTAAACCAAGTCACTCAAAAAGGAATATACATATGAGATATAAGTCATTAAAGAAGATAAAAATCAATAAAAAAAGGCTTCTATATTCCTCACAAACGAAAACAGGAAAAAGCCATACAAGTGGCACTACTATATGATATAAAAGAGTATAATTAATTGAAAATAAGTGTTGACATGCTTTAATAATTCTTCTCTGGAACTATGTAACTGCCCTTTGAATTTTTTTTTTTTTTTTTTTTTTTGGTTTTTTTGTAGCTTTGCACTTTTCCTGGATCTCGCTCTGTAGACCAGCCTTGGCCTCAAACTCACAGAGATCCGCTTGCCTCTGCTGGGATTAAAGGCGTGGGCCACCACAGCCCGGCTGCCCTTTGAATTTTAATAAGAGGGACAGAAGATCTGAGCCACCAAGTTTTATTGTCCTTTCCCTTAGGAGAGGGGCAACAGCAAATGGGGTGAGCCTGCAGTAGTGTGGTGGTTTGAATACAAATGGCCCCCACAGGCTCATAGGTTTGAATGCTTGTTCATCAAAGAGTGGCACTACTTGAGAGGATTTGGGAGGTGTGGCCTGTTGGAGTAGGTTTGGCTTTATTGGAGGAAGTGTGTCACTGGAGGTGGGCTTCGTGATTTCAAAAGCCCAAGCCATTCTCAGTGTCTCTCTCTTCCTGCTGCCTGTGTATCTGGATGTAGAACTCCTAGCTACTTCTCCAGCACCATGTCTGCCTGTGTCCCCTCATGCTTCGCACCACAAGAATGGGCTAAACCTCAGAAACTGTGAGCAACATCCAGTTAAATGCTTTCTTTTGTAACAGTTGCCATGGTCACTGCATCTCTTCATAGCAATAGAACACTGACTAAAATAAGTAGCAAGATATTTCCAATGGAAATACAGACTCTGATGATTAATTCCATGGTATCATGGGCTGCGCTTTGCAGATCCAAGAATCCCTCTATAATCTGAGCCTCCAATTTTGCAGAGGTTCCTTTGATGGCTAGTTGGGGCAAAGTTGACATCTTCTCTTTTTCCTGTGATTATATTTTTTCTAAAGTCACACAATGATAACTTCACATAGTGTGCATAGACTTAGATAAGCCTATTAGAAATTTCATTTGGTGTTTTGAGGCAATATCTAGATTGGAAGGACATGAATAGCCCACCAGTACTATGCATCAGCTTCTCCATTCTCTGGTACTATAGGCACCATTAAATGGGAAGCCAGAGCAGGATCCTACGTTAACAAAAAATAAAAATAAATAACTAAATAAAAATGTAAGCACAAAATGCTTAACTTCATGGCAAAAAAATTGATTAATTAGTTTTTACAGATTGCTATTATTTTACTGTTTTCTAATTAAGCTAACTCTCACTTTCAGTAACTTGGACTAGAGAAAGACCCATTCACTAATGGTGTCCCTCAACCAAGGAATGGATAAAGAAAATGTGATACATTTACAAATGGAGTACTACTCAGGTGTTAAAAACAATGACATCAGGAAATTTGAAGGCTAATGGATGGAAATAGAAAAAAATCATACTGAGTAAGAACCTAGACCCAGAAAGACAAACATGGTATGTACTCACTCATAAGTAGATATTAGCTGTAAAGAATAACTATGCTACAATCTACAGACCCAGAGAGGCTAGGTAACAAGGAAGACTCAAGGAGGGGATGCACAGATCTCCCTGGGAAGGGGAAACAGAAGAGATTTCATGAGCAGACTGCGGGCAGGCAGGTCAAGATGGGAACATGAGAGATGGGAGGAGGGGGGAGTACTAAAAGGACTACTAGAAAGGTGGGCATTTCAAGGTCAGGTCAAACCTGGCCCAAGGAATCTCTCAGGAACCTACAAGGATGGCACCAGCTAAGACTCCTGACAATAGCAGATATGAAGCCTGAACTGGCCATCTCCTGTGACCAGGCAAGACTTCAAGTGGAGGGAATGGGAAACCAACCCAGCCACATAACCTTCAACCTACAGTCTGTCCTGATTATGGGATGTGCTGGGCTAAGGGTGGCCTGGAAACTGAGGGAGTGGCCAACCAATGACTGGTGTAACCTAAAACCCATATCAGGAGTGTAAGCCCACCCTGACACAGCCTGGAGCACTGAGACCTACAGGCTGGATGAACCAGAGACCTAAGATAAAACCAAACATGACTGGAGGGAAAAAAAATGTCAATGTAATGGTTCCTAATGTAATATTCTGCTATACTCATAGATTCGTGCCTAGCCCAATTGTCATCAGAGACGCTTCATCCAGCAACTGATGGACACAGATGCAGACCCACAGCTAAACAGTAGGCCCAGCTTGGGAAATCCTGCAGAAGAGGGAGAAAAGGATTGTAGGAACCAGATGGGTCAAGGACACCACAAGAAAACTCACAAAATCTACTAACCAGGGCTCACAGAGACTCACAGGGACTGAACCGACAACCAGGAAGCCTGCCTGCATATATACACTCTGCATATATGCTACAGTTGTGTAGCTTGGTCCTCTGTGGGACTCGTAACAGAGGAAACAGGGACCATCTCTGACTCTTTTACTGGCTTTTGGGACCCTATTCCTCATACAGGGTTGCTTTGCCCAGCCTTAATACATGGGGAGGTGCTTAGTCTTACTGCAACTTTATATACTGTGTATTGTTGATATTCATGGGAGACCTGCCCTTTCCTAAACAGAAATGGAGGAGTGGATTGGGGGTTAGGAACAGAGGGGACTGGGGGAAGAGGGTACTGGGGGGTTGAGGACAGAGAGGAAACTAAAGCTGGGGTGTAAATAAATAAATAAATTTATTTAAAAAAAGAAATAAATCAGGTACCTGCTATACTGACACAAGACCAGTTAACAGCTCCAAATTTTACCAAAGAATCAAGGAGAAAAAATAGCACCTATCTCACACAAACTACCTCAATAAAACAAAAGAACAAAGGATGCTCAAGTGTTTCTAGACGGCAAACTGAATGGTTAATAATGAAATACACAGACCTACTCTACTGGGAATCTTACTAACCCTCTGGCTTCTCTTGAGACACCAATGAGTCATTTACATGTCAATCTGACTATACTGGAAGTAGAGCTAGCAAACTTGGAGAGCATCATTTATGGGTGTGTCTGTGAGGGTGTCTTCAGAGTGGTGTGCGAACCTCAGCAGGCCAAGTGGAGATGGTCTGTCTTCAGTGTAGAGAAGGCGCCATCAATTGGATAGGGGCCCAGACAGAGAGATGACAGCAAAGAGAGACTAACCTCTCCCCAGGAGCCCAAGAACATTCTTCTGCCATTGGAACCAAAATCACAAGCTTCCCAGCCTTAGCAGCCCAAATCTCCCAATAGGAGAGTGACTGTCAAGGCTCGAACTGAGCAACATTATCAACATCTTAGAATCTACTACTCGCCGCCCCTCAGTTTTTCAAGACAGTTTCTCTGTGTAAAAGCTCTGGATGTCCTTGAACTCACTCTGTAAACCAGGCTGGCCTCAAACTCACAGAGCCTCCTGCCTCTACCTCCCAAGTGCTGGGATCAAAGGCGTGCACCACTACCATCCACCTAAAAATCTACTTTTCAAACATCCCGTCCTCTAAAACAGTGTGAGCTAATTCCCCTAGTAAACTCTCTCCTTGCTTGTATGTTGATACACGAATCTAGCCCACTGCTCTATCTAGAAAGCCCTAACTAACACAAACAGTAATATCAGGGGTCAGGAAACATCTTTATCCCTGGCATTGTTTTCCTGTAGAGCACATACTCAAATGGAACATTGCCTCTCTCCATCTATTAACCTGTCCCATACTCCGAATGAAAGAAGGAGGAACTTAGGGCACTCTTGCACAAGCAGGACCTCCTATCCAGTATACTCCCTCCATAGAATGCAACCCCCTGCAGCAAACAGGTATTCTGCTCTACTTCCTATGCAGTGCAGTGTGCCTTCGAGGAAAGGCTACAGTTGTAGACTATGGGTGGACAAAACTTGTTTAATTTTTCCACACTTACTCAATGGAAAAATGGGGAAAAAAACAGCAGTTGGTAGGTTTGATAACCATATTAGAAAAAATATACATGAAACTTCCAGAGAATGAACTATTTTGCACCTTTAAATTTTTCCTAAATTAAAAAAAAAAAAAAATAACTGATTTTGTAAGTTAAGCTCTAACCTATGAAAGAAAGGGAATCCAAATTCAACATTTAACAAAGAACAACCCTTAGAGCTGTTCTACTGTGTTTCATACTGTGCCAACACTCAACCATGAACCTAAAATAAAAACCTGGAACCTGTCGATCGTGAAACCTTAATTTAATAAAGTATTTTCCCGGGTAACCTGCCATCGCATAGATTAATGTTTATAAAAAAGTATAAATATATATACTGAAATATTAAGTTACATAATTTTCAAATGCCAAACCATAATTAAACTGCACTCTTACCATATTTTGAAAAACAAGTAAAATGGATTTCACCAGCATTTGAAAACATTTTACTTCTACTAACCATGCAAGGTAATTTTTCAATTTTAGTATTTGATAATTCTCCAATTTTTCTGAAAACTTTACAATACACCAAGCTTCCTAACACAAAATATAAATACACAATGAAGCAAAATATATTTAATATTTCTAGACTTGTTAATGGCTACAAGTATCGCATATTGTACAAATAATAGTAAGAATAATTTTCCTCAAACCTGTATGCATATAGTTTAGCTTCCTGGAAAATGTTTGCCATAGTTTTCCATGAATTTCAATTATTTCCAAATTATTTCAGCAAACACAACAGAGAGATGCTAAACAATTATACTTACATGTTGGGAGACTCCTGGCTCACTGAGGAAACTGAGTCAGAGCCCTCTACTGGAGTGGGGATCCTTTCCGATAGCAAGCTTGTCTAAAAAAAGGAAGAAGAAGAAGAAAACAGACTCGTTTGTTTCTCTGCATTTCTAACTGACAGCACTATTCACAAGATCTCTTATGCTTAACACAGTTGCTTTCAAAATTAAATCATCTGATTCAATGAAATTAAAAGACTGAGCAATCCCCTTGTCTATGCATGGCTCCTGCTCTATTATGTTCTTGATATCATAACCTCCACAGAAGAAGGCGAGTCTATGCAAGGAGAACACAGCTAAAGCTTCTGCTACCACAATAAAAAAAAAAAAAAAGACAGCCGGGCGGTGGTGGCGCACGCCTTTAATCCCAGCACTCGGGAGGCAGAGCCAGGCGGATCTCTGTGAGTTCGAGGCCAGCCTGGTCCCCAAAGCGAGTTCCAGGAAAGACGCAAAGCTACACAGAGAAACCCTGTCTCGAAAAACCAAAAAAAAGACAAAAAAAAAACATTGTGGTAATCAGTTAAAGGCTTAGAGCCTAGCTCTACTAAAAGAGAAGGGTCTGAAGTCATCCTGTGTCAAGTTAAGAAGCATGAATAGCTAATACCAACTACCACAATGCCAAAGAAGTGATACATAGCCTGGCACTCAGGTGGCAGAGGCTCTGTAAGTTCCAGACCAGCCAGAGATACATAGTGAGGCCCTGTTTCCAAAAAGAAAGGGAGGGAGGGAGGGAGGGAGAAAGAGAGGAAAAAAAACACAAAAGAAAAAAGACAGATACATGTCCCATTAAAATATCCTGTCCATGCCAGGCAGTGGTGGCATACACCTTTAATCCCAGCACTCAGAAGGCAGAAGCAGGCAGATCTCTGAGTTTGAGGCCAGCCTGGTCTACTGAGTGAGTTCCAGGACAGCCAAGGCTACACAGAGAAACCCTGTCTTGAAAAAAACAAAAACAAGAGCAAAAGCAAAAACAAAATCCTGTCCATAAAAAGGTGTTACAGTGATGCCTGTAACTGAAATAAAGACCTGCAGGGAGGAAAGGGTTAAAATACGTACCTTCTTCCATGCCTTTGCTATGGATTCGTGTAAACCATAAGGAAGCAACACCTGTAAGCCTTCACATGTGCCATATATTTGACGACACACAGAAATAAAAGCTCCTTTAACTAAAGGCAACATTTCCGATCCAGAAAAAATAGAAATATCTTCATCAAGAAGTTTCTTTGAAAACTTGGCTATGATATGCGCACCTGTAGGACTAAGAAGAGATCACAGATGTGATTCCAAAGCCAAGCGGGCCTGACTGCATGCCGCACCAGCCAAACAGCCTGTCTCCACACAGCTCATTTGCTAGTTCTCTTTTAGATAGATCATAGCTTTTGCAAACAAGAAAATATGCCTGATCCTCCAATGTGAACGTGCCCAGTCATGAGAAAGGTTTCAGTGGCACATGGGAAAGGGTATTCAGATGGGGGAAACAGCCAGATCTACACACACTGAAGAGACACAGATGCCATGCAGCCAGGGTCATACATGAGTGTTCTTGATTTTCCAGTGAACACATCCTTTTGTTTGAGCTGTTGCTACCCTCCCCCGTCACAATAACAACACAGTCACCCTATCTCAAAGTTCGAGACTGTCTTCCTGGAAATAATAACGGCACAGACAAAAATGCTTCCAGTGTGAAAGTTACTATTTCAAGTATTTTAATGAGCTTATGTCTTTTTTCTAAAATCCTTTGAATGTAAGACTACAGAAGTAACTTGCACAATGTCACATAGCTAATACTGAGAAACAAGATAACCTTGTCTGTCTAACTCTGGGGGAAAGCAGCATTAATACTTTTTCTAGATTTTTAATACACAGAACCAAATCAAAAGCAATAAGCATTAGACTTAGAGAACACTCAAGTCTCCTTTCTCCAGCAGCATTATGAACATTTTGCCATCCTTGTCTTGCATATGTAATCCAGTGTGCATCTCTAAATAATGACATTTCTATTTTAAATGTAATATACCCACATACAAATTATCATTGTTAGTAAGACAGCCCACATCAAACTTCTCTTTATTTTCTTAAATATGTCATTGTATCTAGATAAGTTTGTGTAAATTACATTTCATACAAGTCCTATGGGTTGTGTTCATGATTTAAACTCCCTGTGTACTTTTCCTCCAGGTCAGTGATTCAATAATTTTATATTTAAATGACTCTAGTCATTTATATATATTAACTATATGTAAATACATAAGTATATATTTATATAGAATATAGTCACTATTTTTTTTCTATGGTATCTTCAATCCCATTTCCTATTTCCCCAAATGTTCTACAAGATAATAATTAGACCCAGAGGTTTAAAGTTTGGTTGGCGTCCAACGTGGTGGCAAGAGTTTCCACCTAAAAACTGAGAAAAAAAGATTCTAAAATGGAGCTAAAAACAGTTCCTAATTGTCTCTCTCAAATGAGCAGCAGCTGCTGGTTTGAGCTACTTGTGGGTTCCTGGTGTGCATGCTCGACATGCTGTATGGCAGGAATAAGGCCTCTGCAAGTGGCACATTAAGCTGCATGGTGGATTTAGACTTTGCTAATACAAAACAAAACAAAACAAAACAAAAAAAGGTTTCTGGACTACACGCTGCTTGGATAAAAGCATAGACCCACGATAGCTCCCAGAGCTGGTGGTAAACGTAGCCATGTTGGGAAGCTGAGGTGGGAGGAGCCAGCAGTCACAGCTGCTGCAGTTTAAGGCAATAGATTCACAATAAGACAGATTCAGATGTAATAGTTTACAATGTGTGTAAAATATACGTAGGCTTTAAAGAGACAAAAAAGATGATATATAGAGTTATAGAAACAAATACATAGTTTTAAAAAATAAAGTCTTTAAAGAGACAGTAAAGGTAGTATAAAAAATAAGCCACGTAAAAATGGATATTACACAGAGAATCTGCATTGTGTTGTCTTTGGGACTTTTAACTGCAGAAAAACATTTGATTGTAAAAGCTGTTGAGTTATGCCAATATGTATATTTTAAAGGTACCTTGACTTCAAAATTTGGATATAAGGATATGTTACTTTGGAAAGGAGACTCTGCTTTTGTTTCCACAGAAAGCCAGAGGCTATGGATTTGTTCCAGATTAAGACACATCAGGTTTGACCAGCCAAGACCCCCTGAAAGGTCTCCGATGACACCATGGCCCAGATGATCCAACATCCAGAATGGTTTGAAGGCAACTGGCTCAGATGATACAGCCTCACGGACTACTCCATGATCCTAAAATTTTCTTTGTGTCCCCATAAGATACAGCGCCCCCCTCCAGCAGGAAGTAGTAAGAGAAGCTACGCCCAAATTCCCAAATTATATGTAATTTTACTTTGTTAAGGTTAAAACCTTCCTTTTTGAAAAAAAAAAGGGGGGGGGGAAGTACTGTGGAATGTTCTGTATGGCAAATGTGTTGCTGATTAGTCAATAATTAAAACACTGATTGGCCATTGGCTAGGCAGGAAGTGTAGGCGGGACAAGGAGGAGAATAAAGCTGGGAAGTGGAAGGCTGAGTCAGAGAGACACTGCCAGCCGCCACGATGAGAAACAGAATGTGAAGATACCGGGAAGCCACGAGCCATGTGGCAAGGTATAGATTAATGGAAATGGATTAATTTAAGCTGTAAGAACAGTTAGCAAGAAGCCTGCCACGGCCATACAGTTTGTACCCAGTATAAGTCTCTGTGTTTACTTGGTCGGGTCTGAGTGGCTGTGGGACTGGCGGGTGACAGAGATTTGTCCTGACTGTGGGCCAGGCAGGAAAACTCCAGCTACATTTGGTTCTTTTGTTTTTTCCTCCCCGGCAACATAACGTCATTGGTGGTGTGTGCCTCCAGCATGAAGTACATATCTGATGGTCCCAATCTAGGTGACACCAAATTAATCTGGCAGATGGCACCAGGCTGGCATTTCTAAGAAGGAAGGCTTTACCCTTGATGACTTTAGCAACTATCATGATGATGACCAAGATTTGGTGAAGAAAGACGACATGCATCTTTTCTGACTCAAGAATTTTGTCTGTGTTTACTACCCAGACTTCTTCCACAAAGGGCTTTCCCATGTAACTTGTTAAAATACAGTGTGTAAAGGAAAGTTGGAAGAATATTCCAATCTTTATCAAATTGCAAAGTAATAAATACACTCGGTATCATAGCAACCTCATTAAGAAACTAGTTGGCCCATTTGTGCTTTATTTTTATTATTTTAGTATCTTTTCAAATCCATGTTTATAGACTTATGGATTTCACCCTACCTCCCTATTCTTTTCTGATCCTCGAGTTGCAGATCTTAAAGACAGTAGACTCTCCCTCAGGGTCCTTTTGGCCCTATCCTGCTAGTTTTAAATAGCTATCTTGACTTCTAGAAACAAAATTATGCAAACATGACCCTGTATACTTCTTATTCCTGACCTAGAAACAGTCATTTCTTCAAGGCTTCCTGTCTCCTCTTAGGGAAAAACAAAACAAACAAGATACAGAGATACCACAATGCAGGTATCTGTTCACTGTCAATAATATCAATTCTTCTAGGCCTTTTCCGTGGTGGTGATTTTAAAAATAAATTTTAAAAAAATAAATTAAAAAATTTTCCATTATGAACTGAATAGTCAAGATTTTACTTCTTTAATTTTATGCCTTTATATCTTACACTAATAAAATCTTAGTTCCCAATGCCATTACCTACCTATGTTTATTATCCACAACAGTTTTGAAATAGCACCAATACTGCTTCTACACATTCCATATGCAGCTGACATTGAAGACTATTTCCCTTACATTACACCTCACTACAAATTCAATGGCGATGAGGTTACCTGAAGTAATTTTCTTTCTTCCTGAGTTTGTCACTGACTTGACTGTGAAGTTTACTTACTTGTTTGCTTTGTAGGTTTTAAAAATTGTGAGTTCTTTCTTTTTAATTTGTTTAACATTTGGAGCGTAAAGCAGCTACCTAATTGCAAAGTAAAATCTAAGGATGACCAATGTATTGATTGTTTCTCCATATATGCTTCTGATCGTCTCTTCCGTTCCCTAGAACTGTGTTCATTGCCTTTCAGTCTGTCATTAATAATTCCCTCCTAAGTGATCAGCAAATGGATGACCCATACTGTCCTGTTACACAAAAGGCAGCATTCTATAAACATACGTCTCTGCTTTCTCTTTTTTAATATGTTATAAGGCTAACGCCATAAGCAGTCCATAAAAATATTCCTAATTCTGTGTGTGTGTGCATGCATGCGTGCGTGCGTGCGTGCATATGTGTGTGTGTGTAACAGAGTCACAGGACACCTGGAGATCACAGGACAGTTGCAGGAATCAGCCCTCTGGTTCTGCCATGTGAGTCCTGGGAATCAAACACAGGTCATCAGGCTTGGCAGGTGGCATATTTCCCTGCGAAGCCATTTTCTGGCCCTCTAATTCCTTTTTTACAGCTTGCTACCTGCTCACTCCTCCACGGTGAAAAGTAAAATTTAACGAGCCAGACTCTTGTTAATTGCATTTGCAAATATTCCAGTCTTTCTACTAAAGAAACAATCAGTATGAACTTTACACGATGGCTCGGAAGTCACTTCTGGTAGTTTACATCTTGTTTAACTTCAGTGTGAGAGAACCGTTCTTTAAAAACAAAACCACATACACATCATAAGTGAATGGCAAAACCTTGATTTCATCCAAATTAACAATATTCATAAAGAAACAGAAAATTTTACTAGTTTTTGTATTATTAGTGCCAGACATACTAGCACTCATTTTTTAAAGTTTTTCTAATAAGTAACGTTACTTTTTTAATTTTATAAACTTTGTTACAAAAACTTGCAAATAAATAAAAACATCACACACCAAAATTAACCAGACTCAAAGTCCATGCAAGTTAATGAATTTACATACAGTTATAACTGACTAGTTGAGGGGAAGTCATAATTCAAGGCTGGCTTGTGTTATTAGTAAAGTCTTATTTATGAAAAATTCAATTTCCAAAGGATTAAGTAATAGATAAGGTGATCTTAGAATTCACGACAAAAGATAAATCTTACTAATTAAAAAATAATTATAATGCCTTAAACTTATGAGTAAGGAAAATAACGATTCAGGGTGACGCCCGAGTCCTCACTGCTAATGTGAGAAGAATTTTTGAGCAGGTAAAGGTTACCCCCTAAGGCGACCCGCCTACTTTGCGGGATGCCTGGGTGAGGTAGTCTGCCCGACCCCCTCTATGCTAAAGAAAGTCAGAAAGAGAACAAGCTGTCTGCATGGTTATCCCGAGACCGCATCCTGTGTGTAGGTCAGTGGTTGTCTTACGAGTAAACCGTGTTTATCCCACGCGTGGTCGAAACCCACCTTCTCCACGGGCTGGGCCGGATTCCACGTCCACTACCAGTCAGTTTTATTTAAAATAATAATAAAAATGCATCAGGACTCAAAAAAAAAATAATTATAATCATTATGTACTCAATATCTCCAGTTTAAAATGCTAAACTGAATGCATAACATCTATCTGTTCTCTCCATAAAGACTAAAATGCACAAATAAAATATTTTTAAATGCATAGAGATCCTCAAGGACAAAGGAAATGGAAAAGCTATTGGGAAAATTTTGAAACCTGGGGTACAGAAGAGCCAAGTAAACCAGGACCTAGACTACATCAGTCACAAGTCACAGCTCAAAAGCCAGAAATCATTTGACTGACTTCTAGAACATTGAAAAAACAAACAAACAAAAGCCCACATTAACTGATGACTTAACTATCTCTGCAATGGGGAACAAAAACCAGGACTGAAAGTAAATTTAGGAAAGTTTTATCCTCCAGATTCCACTTACAATTGCATGCAGCTAGCTCAGGTACTTCTTGGACGTCACAGAGATCAAGAAATACAGGAGGGCCTGGTGGAGGTGGCACAAGCCTCTAATCTCAGCACCCAGGAGATGAAGGCAGGCGGATCTCTCAGGCCAGCCTGGTCTACAGAGTGAGTTCTAGGACAGCCAAAGATACACAAAGAAACCCTGTCTTGAAAAAAAAAAAAGGTAGAGAAAGACAGAGACAGACAGACAGACACAGACACACACACACACACACACACACACACACACAGAGGAGGGAAGATAAATGAACACACTGATGTGTGAGATCCAGCTTGGCTTCCACCTGGTCCCCTGCTGAGAGGCTGTGTTTTTTTCAGGCAGGTAACTGCAAGAGGCTGCATTACGGCTCTCCCAGCGAAATGCCAGGGCATTTTCGACACAATATAAAGACCACAAGTGACAACTGCCCTTGTAACAGTTATCAACGGTTTTTTGAAACATCTAAGGAGTAATAAAAGCAACAAATAAAGAGAAACTGGAGGGAAATGAGAAAGTATGAGACGACAACTTCATTATCCACAGAGCTGAACAAATTTACTGGCCTCCAACAGGAATAAGATGTTTTGCTTTAAACACACACACACACACACACACACACAAAAAAAAAAAAAAAAAAAAAAAAAAAAAATAAGGCCAGCAAGATTCCTCAGCAGGTAAAAAACACTTACAATAACCTGAGTTTGATCCCCTGGAACCTATATCAACGCATAAGAACAAAACAAACTCTACAGTGTTGTCCTTTGATACCCACACATGTATCATACCATGTGTATGCCTGTGAACACATGTATGTGCATACACACCACACACACACACATGCACATATGCACACGCAATCACAAGATCCAGAATGGATTTTCTGGAAAAAAAAAAAAAAAAACCACAAAATTGTTAAGTTTCAAGTTAGCACTATAATAATAATAAATAAATGAATAATAACAATAAGTAAAAATGACTAGTACCAGAATGAGAGCAGAGATTTTTCCCTACTGGTCCCCCAGTACTAACAAGATAGCCAGAGCACATTACTGGCAATTCTAAACCAAAAATAAATAATGGCACCATTTCTCTGAAAGACACAACTTGTTAAATTTTATAACCAAAGGAAGTAACTCTGAACAGGCCTATTCATCTAATAAAGAAATTAAGTAATTATAAGAACTTGATAAAGCCAGGCACTCATTGTCTCACAGATGAATTCTACCAAATATTTATAGACGTTATAACAGTTCTCTATAATTCCTTTCAGAAGACAGAAACAGGAGTAATCATTTCTAACTTATGAAACCAGGTTTGTAGTAATATCAAAAAACAAAGATATTCTAGGTTCAGCAGCTGATATTGTGTGTCAATATGGCAAAGACCACCTGTATCCATGAGAAACTCAAAGTCACAATGGGAAAGAGGAATATTCACAACCAAGTGTGATTTACTCCCTGAGTAAGGCTGCTTGCCACTTAAAAACTAATTAATGTCGGGGCTGGAGAGATGGCTCAGCAGAGAGAGACAGGACTGCCCAGGTACCACACCATCAGAAGCCCAGGGAAAGCCAAGAAGCCTAAGTACCACAAGGCTACCATTGGCAAAGGAGGAGATAGACCTGGGTGACATCAGAGGAGAGGGAAGGGGGTGTGGCTTCTCCTCTGAATCTGTTTGACTGAAACCAACAACCTGTGGCTTCAGCAGTCTGTGAGACGGTCTTGGGGTACAGATAAGAAGGCATGGGTTCCCATCTGGAATGATGCCCGCAAACCTTATTATGAGCTAAGATTATATAATAATCTTAGTAATTACTATAGGTAACTATTATGATTAGTAACTCCACTTTCAGGGCATTCAACACCCTCTTCTACTTCCAGGGGTGCCTGCATGCACAAGGTACACATAAACTCATGCAGGCATACACACATACACATAAAAACAATAAATAAATATTTTTAAGGATTATATCAAAGATGGCTTAACGTGTCACTAGTACCTGCTTGGGAAACCTAACTACCCCTGAATAGTTACACAGACTAAAATGTCCACGTACCTCTCTTCTTCGGAAGAGTTCATATTTTCTCCATAAAGAAGTAAAATAAGTCCTTCTTCTACAGAAGCAATTCTTGCCAAAATATCAGCTATGTGAATTAAAGCTGTTTCGGAGCAGTCTGGAGCAGCCTGAACATTTAAAACAGAATGACAAGACAAATCATATAATTTTACGGTGTAGCGTGGGTGGTGTGTAGTCTAATAAAGTTATATGGCTACCACAACAACAGAAACCTTAATGACTTCTGCTTGTGAAATAATATGTCTGAGTTAAATGTGTCATTAGATTATATTCTTTTACCAGCAGAATTGATGAGGCAAATAAATCCAAGCTTTTCACCTAAGCCTGAGAATCACTGACTGTATGACAGCTGCATGTATAATTCTGGATACCAAATGCTATCGCTCCCTCCCTATCTGCATTGTCTTGTACTTTTCAGGTACCACATTCCTGTAAATTCACCATGATATATATGGTATCTGATACACTATGATTTTGTTATATGGGTGCCGTCCCCTTATATACCTAACTGGGTAAAGACCGACTAGAGACAGCCAGTTCATGAGCTGACCAATAGTCCATAATATCACCCACTTGGAAAACAAACTGGACCAGTCCTATCTGCCCACTTTAAATAGAAGTATTCATACAGCTTAGCCAACATATAAGAAAATAGCACAAAACAAATATTGAAACCTAGAGATTATGTTAATGCTGAAGTCAACTTACAGAAGCTCTTGTTATTTTTAGGGTCTACCTATTGCTTTATCCCTGCATGGATTCTAATGTCCATATTCTCCATATTATAAAATATGTATCTTACAACTAATATAATGTCATGAATTCCCTTAACAAACTGAGTTAGGCATAGTCCCCTGTAATTATATATGGCGGGAGCTAGAAAGCTGGTTCAGTGGGTAAGAGCAGTTGCTAAAAGCATGAAGACCCAAGTTCAAGTACTCAAGACCCACGTGTAAACAGCTGTATGTGTCTATAATTCAGGGCTGATGGGGGCGACAGGAGGAATGCCGGGGCTTCCTGGTCACAAGTTTAGCTCCAACCTCCAGGAGAGAACCTGTCTCAATGGAATAATGTGCCAAGAGGGACAGAAGGCTATATACAGTGCTCCTGTGCTTCCCAAGGCACACATAGGCATGCAAGTCTTCACACACGTATGAGTCTACACCACACACACATACATATATGTTCACTCTGTGTGTGTGTGTGTGTGTGTGTGTGTGTGTGTGTGTGTTGATGATGATGATTACTGTTAACTGCCAACTTGAAAGAACAGAGAAGTACCAGGCCTCTGGACATCTGCAGTGATTATCTTGATTGCATTAACAGCACAGGAATACAGAAAAACAAAAAAAAGACCTTAGTCTGCACAGGAGGGATGTTTTCATGTGGAGTAGGTTTCATTCAGGAAAGGGGGACTAGAAAAAACAGTGAGTATACCTTAACTTTGTTTAGAAGATGTAAACAATATATATACACAGAAAATTTAGTAAATGCAAAGTTAAAAACAGTGACATTTATACAGCAAGCAACAATCAATGAAATATTGTATAACCCAATGAAGTGTGGCCCAAGAGAGCCAAGAGACAAGTACAGATGCTACAAAGCGGATAATAGACATGAACGTTCTCGTGTTCTCTAAAGTCACCAACAAGAAGTTTAAGTCAGAGAAGTGGAGGACTATATTGGACACACTGCCATCCTGGTGAGGACACCAACTTCACCAGGTGTTGGGTGTGTGGCACCGACAGGTCACTTCCCTCAGCCTCAGTTTGTTCTTTGGTGAAATTCTCTAGCACAAGGAAGCACACAGTGTGAACTGTGAGGACAGCATGATTGTTCAGCTCTGGGGCTGCACACAGTGTGAACTGTGAAGACAGCATGGCTATTCAGCTCTGGGGCTGCACACGGTGTGAACTGTGAAGACAGCATGGCTGTTTAGCTCAGGGGCTGCACATGGTGTGAACTGTGAAGACAGCATGGCTGTTCAGCTCTGGGGCTGCACACGGTGTGAACTGTGAAGACAGCATGGCTGTTCAGCTCTGGGGCTGCACACAGTGTGGACTGTGAAGACAGAATGGCTGTTCATCTCTGGGGCTGCACACGGTGTGAACTGTGAAGACAGAATGGCTGTTCAGCTCTGGGGCTGCACACGGTGTGAACTGTGAAGACAGAATGGCTGTTCAGCTCTGGGGCTGCACACGGTGTGAACTGTGAAGACAGCATGGCTGTTCAGCTCTGGGGCTGCACACGGTGTGAACTGTGAAGACAGCATGGCTGTTCAGCTCTGGGGCTGCATACAGTGTGAACTGTGAAGACAGAATGGCTGTTCGGCTCGGAGAGCAGAGTGAACTATGAAGACAGCATGGCTGCTCAGCTCTGGGGTTGCATACAGTGTGAACTATGAAGACAGCATGGCTGCTCAGCTCTGGGGTTGCACACAGTGTGAACTATGAAGACAGCATGGCTGCTCAGCTCTGGGGTTGCACACAGTGTGAACTATGAAGACAGCATGGCTGCTCAGCTCTGGGGTTGCATACGCCTTCTTTCTCACACTAGTTCTTCCTACTTTGCAGAGTTGGCTCTTCAGGAAAATAATTGTATTTCCAAAAGCTATAAAACTGTCATTAAAATACATGAGACATTCACAAGATTTATTACATTCACAAGACAAATAGCTTCTTAATAGAATAACTTTTTTCCAAGTTTTTCACATCGACAGACCTAAGTTTGATTAGAAACAAAAATAAGATGTAGTATGTGTATGTGCGTTCCTGCCTCCCGTCATAACTAATACATCAAATAACTGCATAAACTATGATTTAACAAATAAAGATCCATAGAGCAAAAAAAAAATCCATGTAAGAAATATCTGTAAGGCAGCATCTCAACCATGTTCGAAATAAAGCTCCACCGAATATCGACCTATACTAGCCATGGAGGAGGGTCCTGCCCTCTCCAGTGACACCCACCGCAGTCCCTTTCATCAGGCTGTGAATGGGCTGGAGAAGGGTCTCTGTCACAGTGCTGTTGTATAAGCACTCAATGGCACATTCTTTCTGGTCGCAGAGGATCCTCAGGACATCAGTCACCATACTTGCAGGAGAATAATTCTCTGAGAAACAGAAAGAAGGGTGAATGTGAAAACACTGCTTAGGACTTCCTGCTTTTCACTCTACACAATTTCCTGTTCCACAAAGTTCACAGGGAATCGGTTATTCAGAAATCACACAAGCGAAGCCCAGAAGATGAGAGTTAGAACCTGAAACTTACCATCTCAATCAGCTTACTATCTCTTCAGGCCAATAAAAGAAAGGACAAGAAACAACATAACATTTTTCAGTTAGACAGCAAATGAAACCTTGATAGTGAAGATATGGCTGAAAGAAGACTCAACTTTTTGCCTCCTAGAAAACAAGTTCATTATATTCACTTTTGCTCATTTTCTTGATGCACTTGGACATATGAGCTTAGAAGAAAATCAAATGAAGCGTTCAGATAAAACTATGGAAAAAGGAAAGGCACACAAGGAACTGATACTTGATAGCACTTGGCACAGTGCTATCCCAAAAGACAAGGAAAACTGGGGTGTTCCTAAGATCAACCTTCCAAACATGAGCTCCAAAGCCAAAAGTGTGTAAAGTGTACCATGGCTGGAATGGCCACTGAAATAAATGCAATGTTTTAATATTACATATTTAATCTAACCTCCTCTCACAAATGTGATATGAGTACCCTAGAAAGAAACTGTACGAAACTAATATGGTTTTTTTTTTTTTTGGTTTTTCGAGACAGGGTTTCTCTGTGTAGCTTTGCGCCTTTCCTGGAACTCACTTGGTAGTCCAGGCTGGCCTCGAACTCACAGAGATCCACCTGGCTCTGCCTCCCGAGTGCTGGGATTAAAGGCGTGCGCCACCACCGCCCGGCCTAATATGGTTTTTAAATTCATGTTACAGTAGTCTTCACTCCTTAAGCATGGTAACTTCAAGTTCACACCTGACCAAAAAAAGAACGGATTTAGTGATTTTTCAATCAGTTCCAGATGAGAAACCCCATTTCCAATGACAAACACTATCAAAGAGCACTTGGCCATTCACACGATCAAGCCAATGCCTACTGAAAAATGCACAGAGCACTGCAGTCTGAGAAAACAGACAGAGACAGTCGACGAGACAGCAAGCAAAATACTGAGTATTTTTAACACGGAAAGATCATTTTCATCATAAGTGATTCTGCAGAAGCATATAGCAGGGGTCTTAAGCTAGTACACCATTTGTAAATGCTGAAAAGACAGAAGAGGGTCGTAGAATCACTAAGAACAATACACTATTACAGCCACACAGAAAATGCCTACAGGCTGATACATATATTCTATGATTAATATGTAGCCCAATCCATTTTTTTTTACTTACTCCAGTTCCTCATAGAATTTGTTCTAGCATTTCCAAGCTAGTTCCTAATTTTAGAAGACTATGGTCTACATTTTTATTTCTGATGTTGCATTTCACTTTGGGGATTTTTATTGATATACAAAGGAAAAGTAGAAGTTATTTTAAAGGGTAATAATTTGAAACTTTTTTTTTTTTTTTTTTTTTTTTGCTTTTTTTCAAGACAGGGTTTCTCTGTGCAGTTTTTGGTAGCTGTCCTGGATCTCACTCTGTAGACCAGGCTGCCAGGCCTCAAACTCACAGAGATCTGCCTAGCTCTGCCTCCTGAGTGCTGGGATGAAAGGCGTGCACCACTGCCACCCAGCAATTCGAAACATTTTTACAAGCTGGTCAACATACATAAGAGCAAATTGCAATTTACAATAAAACAAGAAGGGCTTTTTTTTCTTTACATTTAACAAAAGAAAATCCTGAAAGTAACTAGAATTTAGATTTGAACCATATGATTGTGCCCTAGTCCTTCCCTCATGAAGTAAGAAAGTATTTCATCTGTTTTTTATTTGAAAGAAGTCCACAGTTGAAAGACTCTGAATTTTAAAAGATTTGGGATTTTAAAAGACACTGACTATTTTAAAGAAATTGAATTTTTTTAATTTTTTAACTTTTTATTTATTCTTTGTATCTTTCACATCATGCATCTCAATCCCATTCATTTCCCATTCCTTTGTATCTGCCCTCTGCCCTTGCAACACCCCACCACTCCACAAAGTTAAATAAAATAAAATTTAAGAGAAAAGAAAAGAAAAAAAGGAAAAATCTCATCATGGAAGTTGTAGTGTGACACAGTAAGTTATGCAGTAAACACCTTTATCCATATATCTTTATGTACAAGTGTTCATTGTAAAGAGTCATTGGTCTGGTTCAAGAACTCTGTATGTCAAATGTGTTGCTGATTGGTCAATGAATAAATCACTGATTGGCAGTGGCCAGGCAGGAAGTATAGGCGGGACTAACAGAGAGGAGAATTGAGAGAACAGGAAGCTGGGTGAGGGAGAGACTACCAGCCGCCATCAGGATAAGGAAGATGTAAAGTACCGGTAAGCCACAAGCCACGTGGCAAGGTATAGATGAATAGAAATGGATTAATTTAAGCTGTAAGAACAGTTAGCAAGAAGCCTGCCACGGCCATACAGTCTGTAACCGATATAAGTCTCTGTGTTTACTTGGTCGGGTTTGAGCGGCTTGGGACTGGCAGGTGAGAGAGATTTGTCCTGACTGTGGGCCAGGCAGGAAAACTCTAGCTACAGAAAAAAAGGAAAAATCTCATCATGGAAGTTGTAGTGTGACACAGTAAGTTATGCAGTAAATACCTTTATCCATATATCTTTATGTACAAGTGTTCATTGTAAAGAGTCATTGGTCTGGTTCAAGAACTCTGGTTTCTGCTACACTATCGACATTAGGCTCTCACTTGGACTCCTCTTGGATATCCTGCTGTTGCCCTGTGTTGTGGAGATCCTGCAGCTTTGGGTCTGCAAGACCAGACCTTTCATGTGCTCCAGCAGATCGCAGATGGGGTGGATGTTGGGGTGGGCCAACTTATAACCCTGGTTCTGGGCCTAGATAGTTACAGGGTTGGTTAGCCCACCAACTCTCCCCTGTCTTCACCACCAGGGTGAGCTCTCCAGCATTGCCCTTACTATTTACCCCTTGCAGCAATGGGCAAGAGGTAGGGCCAGTTTTCCTGCTTTCACATCCTCAGGGTCAGCTCTCCCACACCTGCACCTTTAAGGTCAGCTCTACTGCGTTGCCCAGGCAAGGTGTGGGTGCCACTCTCCCAAGTCCTACAGCTAATGAGGACAATTTTAAGTGTTTAAATTTTGAAAGACTCTGGGACTTTTAAAATTTGGAATACTATATATTGTGATGTTCCTAGTAATGTGAGATCTTGGGGATAAATGAGAAAGGAAAGGTTATAGCTTAATAACGATGTGTTTGTATGTCAAGTAGACGAGGGGTAAGCTGTGCTGGCTGGCTTTATGCCAACATGGCACAAGCTAGAGTTATTTGAGAGGAGGGAGCCTCAACTGGGAAAATATCTCAAAAAGATTAGGCTATAGGCAGGACTGTAGAGCATTTTCTAATTTGATTGATGTGGGAAGGTCCAGCCCATAGTGGGTGGTATCACCACTGGGCAGGTAGTCCTGGGTTTTATAAGAAAGCAGGCTGACAAAATAGCGGAAACACATGAACTGTGAGCCAATAGCTAAGGAGCCCCCATGGAATTGGACCAGGCCCTCTGGATAAGTGAGACAGTTGATTAGCTTGAACTGTTTAGGAGGCCCCCAGGCAGTGGGACCGGGACCTATCTTTGGTGCATGAGCTGGCTTTTTGGAACCTAGGGCCTCTGCTGAGACACTTTGCTTAGCCTTGGTGCAGGGAGGAGGAGACTGGACCGGCCTCAACTGAATCTACCAGGCTGGGCTGACTCCCCAGGAGAGACCTTGCCTTGGAGGAGGTGGGGATGGGGGGTAGGTTGGGGGGGGGAGGCTGGGGGTTGGGAGGAGGGAGGACAGGGGAATCTGTGGCTGATATGTAAAATTAAATTAATTACAAAATAGAATATTTATTTAAAAAAAAAAGAAGAAAGCAGGATGAGCTATAGGGAGCAAGCCAGTAAGCAGCACCCTTCTGTGGCTTCTGCATCAGCTCCTGCCTCCAAGTTCCTGGCCTGTTTGAGTTCCTGTCCCAACTTCCCTTGATGATAAACAGTGCTATGGAACTGGAAGCCAAATAAACCCTTCCCTCCCCAAGTTACTTTGGTCATGGTATTTCATCACCGAAATAGCAACTCTAACTAAGACAAAACAAAACAAGCAAGCTGAACAAAATACCTTAGCACAAAGGGCAGAAAACATCAAAATGGGAACACATATATCAAACAAATTTCTCTTGAGCTCAATCGAGAATCTTGACACTAAGAAAACACCAAAACTCTCAGCAAAACTGACTCTAAATTAAAACAACATTTTAGAAATATCTTAAGGCATCTATGAACAGAATTAAGTTCCATGGCTTACTTTAGAACCAATGTGAGGTCATACAATTAATAAAGTCTTAATAAAACCTATTTACCAAAATCGATATGTAACTCAAAGCATCTAGACAAGAGAACACTCAAATGCCTTGATTATTTCTTTTCCTCCACTTAAAATAGACGCATCATGGGTTGAACTGCCAGTACTACAATTAATCAATCAACCAACCAGTTTAGGGAGTGGGGCATTTACCTGAATATGCAGCTGATGTCATCTTTGGACAACTTGGTGAATAGTAGATGAGTTGAGTAAACAAAACCAGCAGATTTGTGAGAGATACTGAATCTTTACAAAAGAAAAAAAAAAGAATAATTTGTAACATGTTTACAACCTAAAACACATTTACCTACATTCCACTCACCTGTAAGATTGCATCACAGTTTCTATGTAAATCCAGTCAGAAGAAAGCTATGATCAAAGACGTATTACTCCAGAACAGAATGCAGTTAAAAGGAAGCTCCTACCCAACTGTCTTGCTATGCTAAGACACAGTTCTGCCATCTGTTTGGAGCTGATCATTTAAATCCACAACAGATGCACGAGTCTCACCATGGCTATTTGAGTTAATTCCATTATGATAAGTAAAATTCAGCTTAATATGTTGGTTCAGCTAACTTTTTTAGCATAGTAGAACAAGGTCAGCATTTTTTCCATGAAAGACTATACAACTTAAGCTTTGGACCCAAATCATCTCTATCACAAACACTCAAGTTGGCTACTGTAGCACAAGGTAGACATATATAATCAACAAATAAATGATGAGTGTAACTGTTTACCAATTAAACTGTGAGTACTAAGCATTCATGTTTTCCACATACCACAAAAATAGTCTAGTTTTTTAATAGTTAAAAAACATGCCTAGCTCACAAGTACATGGACCAGATGGCAGGCCAGGTTTGGCCCACAGGCTACAGTTTACCAAGACTTGCTATAGAAGCTTTCATTAAAACATTCTGGAAAAAACTAAGTAATTTAAAGTTGATTGCTGGTCTCTGTTATTCTCAAACTCAGTTTTGAAATGAGCTGTGATTCTTGATAGCGCAAAATAGTCACTATAAAGAACATAAAATGTTAAATTTATTATAGATGAGAGGCATGTAAAGTTAAGTTGAAAACCTACAAAAATATCAAGGACATTCACTAGTCTTTTCAGTTCTGTAAAGGCCAGAAATATTGTAAGAAATAGTACCTCCTTAATTGAAGAGCTCATGATGTCCCCACACTGTCTTAAACTATACGACATAGCCTTGAACATTGTAAGAGAAGCACATAATGCCCTGTCGGTTCTCAAGGAGCTCAAATAGATCAGGGCAAATAAAATAACTAGACAAGAGGGTTCAAAACAAATAGACTCCATAACAGCATCAATAAACTACAGTTCATATGATCAGATTTTGTAAGGCTGGCAAGCTAAGAATGGATTTTCCATTATTAAAATGTATCAGGGGTCCTGAAAACCACGTTCAGATTTGATTGAGTTGGAAGACCCACAGGCCCCATATAATCATGCTCACATGACACATTATAATGAAACTATGCAAAGCAAAATCAAAAAGAAAGGTTACAGAAGACGAAATCCAGAGCAAACCAGGAATAAGCTTATAAGGGCCTCTCCCAGGGGAGTCATGCAGAATACATTCAATTCCTCCAGAAAAGCACACCAGAGATGCAGTTCCTAAGGTTCTTATTGGGGGTGGGTTGGGGGGTGCGCACATACACACCCTCTGCACAGCATATGTCAAAATTTTAAACTCCCAAAAGCAAAGCTGATATTCAGCATAAATGGCAATGCTGTACAAACAGTTTAGGAACAAGGGGTATTGTACAAACAATTTAAGCACCCTCCTCAGTGCTGGGACTAGCATGAGTCCAGCCAAGAGTCAAGCTTGTAAACAGGCCATCCCAAGGACAGCAGCCTCGGTCATACTATGCTAACGTTCCTGCACAACCACAGACATGCCATGTCATCCACCAAGGCCATAACACTTACTGTCACTTTTCAGAAGGTTTGCTGAACTCTGCTCTATATTGTGTTCCTAATACAGGTATATCATCTTAGGAGAATTAAAGATGATAACTGATTTCAATTTGTGAAATTAAATGAGACAGGGTAAAAACAATATAGTAATTCATGATCTGATACTCTCCTGAACATCATCCTGTGTGCTGGCTGTTTTGTGTCAACTTGACACAGGCTAGAAAATCATCTGAGAGGATGGATACTCAACTAAGAAAATGCCTCCATAAGATCAGGCTGTCAGCATAGGGAACGCATCTAAACCATGGGCCTGGCTACTGCCCCTGGAGAGGCCACATGGACGGGGGAAGAGGACTGGGAATGGGGTCTGAGGACACAGGGAGATGGGAGAGAGGACCCAGGAGGGAAATGGGAAAAAATCGTACATGGTGAAGATCCATCAAGAAATAAAAGTTTCCGGTTGGCTCACATATTGCAGATCGTTAAGATGAAGTCTAACAGTTGACAAGTAGATTTTTATGGGGCCAGGAGGATAAAAGTTTGAGAAAGAGAGATCCAAGAGGGACAGCCAGAGGCCAGGCATGGTGGCACTTCTGGAGCCCTCTGACTGACATGGATGTGGACTGCGAGGGAGGGAGGAACATGCCAGGGCAAACGCTCTCTGCTTGTCTCTCTTTCAGATGGCTTGGCTGGTTTAGAAGCATTCCTTATGCTGACTGCCTCCAAGATCATAGCAGAGATCCAGGCTAAAAGGCCTTGACTGGTGTTTAACTTTTTCACCTTTTTTCTCAATAAAGCAAATTTGTGTAGACAGCACCCCCAAAAAAAAGATCAGGCTGTAGGCAAGCCTGTAGGGCATCTTTTTTTAATTAGTGATAAATGCAGGAGGGCCCAGGCCACTATGGGTGGTGCCCCCTGGGCTGGTGGTCCTGGGTTCTATAAGAAACCAGGTTGGTCGGGCGGTGGTGGCGCACGCCTTTAATCCCAGCACTCGGAAGGCAGAGGCAGGCGGATCTCTGTGAGTTCGAGGCCAGCCTGGGCTACCAAGTGAGTCCCAGGAAAGGCGCAAAGCTACACAGAGAAACCCTGTCTCGAAAAACCAAACAAACAAAAAAAAAAAGAAACCAGGTTGAATAAGCCAGTAAGCAACAATCCTCCATGGCCTCTGCATCAGATCCTGTCTCCAAGTTCCTGCCATGGTTTCCACAGTGAGAGACTTAGAGGCTTTACGGTGAAATAAATCCTTTCCTCCTCAAGTTGCTTCTGGCCATGGTGCTTTATAAGAGCAATATAAAACTGAACTAAGACACAAATTCCCAAGTTGTCATATTCAATATCACAGCATAAAACTTAATATAACTTTAAAAGTCCCACAGTCTTTAAAAATTCAAAACTTTCACGAGTTTAGTCTCTTTAAATATCCAGTCTTCCTAAAATATCTGTAGTCCCTCCTTAATGTCCAAAAATGTCCAAAATCTCTGTAAAATTCCTAAGCCTCTCTAAAATTTAAAAGTCTCTCAACTGTGGGCTCCTGTAAAATAAAAAATAAGTTACAGGCTTTCTTCCTTCAAGAACGGAGACTCAGGACACGGTCGCAATCAAACCAAAGCACAACGAACATTCAACGGTGTGAAAAGTTCAGTGTTTGCTGTGGGGGACCCATCACCATCCTCTGACTCCAAAGGGCTCTGTTCAGCCAGCTCTGCCATTCACATCACCAACAGCTTGTCTTTCAGGCTGAGTGGCTCCATGACACAGGAGCAGCTGCTGTCCTTGGTGGGGGTTCCACAACACTAGTCCCTCCAAATACTAAAATCTCTCCTGCAGCTGGGCTATATCTTCATCAGTAGCTTCTCCTAGGTTCCCTTTAGAGACTCCGCCCCTGCCACATGGTGATACTCCTCAAGTTCTCCCCATGACACCTTCAATCTTGGGGCTTCTACCATAATTAAGACTGCACCTTCACCAATGGCTTCTCCTATACTCTCACACGCCAAGCCTGGTTGCTCTCCATGACCCCATCATGCCTTAAAAACCAGTAGTACTCAGTTGACTCTTGCTCATTACCAAGTTCAGCTGCCAGCATTAGGTACAGCTTTGGCCACCTCTGGACCACAGCTTCTGTGTGCTGACCCTGAGGAAACACTTCTCCAGAAGAGTCTGACTCAGTGATGCCATTCTCTTCTTATCACAGCTGATTCTTCAGTCCAAGCTGACCAGCACAGCAAAGGCTTCTCTTCTCTTCTAAATTTGAATTTAATGATTCTTAATTCAAATTATCACTTGAACTGCCCCAGTAGAATCAACAAGCCAGGCCTTCATTATCTGCATTGCTCTCGACATTCTTAACATCTAAATGACCACAGAAGAGCCAACAGGGCTTTGAGCATTCAATGGTTTTTTAAGCCCTAAATTCCAAAGTCCTTCCACCATCCTCCTCAAAGCAATATGGCCAGGCCTGTCATAGCAACACCCCATGACCTAGTACCAATTTCTGGCTTAGTTCGATTTTCTGTTGCTGCAATAAAACACCATGACCAAAAGCAACTTGGGGAGGAAGGGGTTTATTTATAAAGCCTCTAAGTCCATCACTGAGGAAACCATGGCTGGGATTCAGGGCAACAATCTGGAGACAGGAACTGATGTAGAGGCCATGGAGGATTGTTGCTTACTGGCTTGTTCAGCCTGCTTTCTTATAGAAGCCAGGACCACCAGCCCAGGAGTGGCCCTACCCAGAATGAGCTTGTCCCTCCCACATCCATCACTAATTTTAAAAATGCCCTACAGGCTTGCCTACAGCCTGATTTTATGGAGGCATTTTCTCAGCTGAGCTTCCCTCCCCTCAGATGACTCTATCGAATGTCAAGCTGACAAGAGAGACAGAAAGAGAGGAGGGAAGGAGGAAGGGAGGGAGGAAGAAAGGAAGAACGGAAGAAGGAACGGGGAGGGAGGGAGGGAAGGAGGGAGGAGCGGGGAGAGAAACTAGTGAGCACATCCACATCCTAGATCACAAAATTTCATCATCACTGATATAATGACTCCATTTTCACAAGCTGAAAACCAGAAACATAGGGTTTCCTATGGGTGAGTGGCTTCCCCGAAAGGTCACAATCTGTAGGCTAGCAAGAATTTTTTAAAAGTCTTCTATGTTTTATATCTAGAATTAAATCACCAAGTATGTCTAGTCTAGGGTTTTGAAAAGAGAAATAAGAAAATAATTAAATTCATATACAGTAATAAGCATATACTGAAACTGGAAAAAAATCTCAACAGTACATATGACTAAAAAATATGTAGCTAAATGCCTAGGCTGATGAGTTTCTTCTGTAGATTTAATACAGGATAAAAACCATCTGGGAGCTTCTACCAGATTGTCAATATGCAAGACTATAGAGCATTTTATTGCTTGATGATTGATAGGGGAGGGCACAGCCCACTGTCGGTAGTGCCATCACTGAGGCAAGTAGTCCTGAGATCTATAAGAAAGAAGGTTGGGCAAGCCATGGGATGCAAAGCCAGTAAGTAGCACTCCTCCACGGCCTCTGCTTCATGTTTCAGTATTGAATTCTCCAGGTTTCTGTACTGAATTCCTTCCCTGATTTCCCTTCATGGTAGACTATAAGTTATAAGATGAAATAAAGCCTCTCCCCCTCAAATTGCTGCTGTGGGATGGTCTGTATGTCAAATGTGTTGCTGATTGGTCAATGAATAAATCACTGATTGGTCAGTGGCCAGGCAGGAAGTATAGGCGGGACTAACAGAGAGGAGAATGGAGAGAACAGGAAGCTGGGTGAGGGAGACACTGCCAGCCGCCATCAGGACAAGGAAGATGTAAAGTACCGGTAAGCCACAAGTCACGTGGCAAGGTATAGATTAATAAAAATGGATTAATTTAAGCTGTAAGAAGAGCTAGCAAGAAGCCTGCCACGGCCATACAGTTTGTAACCAATATAAGTCTCTGTGTTTACTTGGTCGGGTCTGAGCGGCTATGGGACTGGCAGGTGAGAGAGTTTGTCCTGACTGTGGGCCAGGCAGGAAAACTCTAGCTACAAGTTGCTTTTGGTCACAGTACTTTATCACAGCAATGAAGAGCAAACTAATATAGTGCCAAGTAGATACTGTGGTGGTTTGAATAAGTATGGCCTCATAGTCTCATAGATTTGAATGTTCAGTCACCAAGGAATGGTACTACTTGAGAAGGATTAGGAGGTGTAGCCTTGTTGGAATGGGTGTGGCTTTGTCAGAGGAAGTGTGTCAACAGAGCTGGGCTCTGAGGTTTTAAAAGCCCGATCCAAGCCCAGTGTCTCTCTCTTCCTGCTGCCTTTCTATCTGGATGCTTCTGCAGCACAATGTCTGCCTGCATGCTGCCATGCTCCCCAATTAAATGCTTTCTTGTATAAGAGTTGCTGTGGTCATGGTATCTCTTCACTGCAATAGAACAGTGACTATGACAAATAACAAGCCCAATTTATAAATATGAACCTGTGTACTGTAAATTGTATCATACCTTTACCTACTCATTTATCTTAATTACACTTACCTTTTCTATTCTTCAGCTTTATGGGAAATAATTTTCTGCCTTGTGTATAGATCAACAATCTTCCTAAAAGGCACAGTGAGTGAATGAAATAAATATATTGTAGTTCTTGTCCTGAGTAGTAGAAATTTCTTTGCTTGTTTCCTTAAAAGAGAAGCAAAAAAGATCATTTATTTTAATAACATTATATTTCATAACACTTGTCTTCAATACCTCCTGACAATTATCTATATTGAAAAAATCACTTTATAAACTTTTAATATTTATTTTCCTTAATATTTCCTATAACCTTTTACAGTAGATCTGAGGGGGAGTAGTCATTATAAAATTGGTAACCACTGTTGCTGATGTTCAATCTAAAAATACCATCATACTGCCAAGAGTTATTCATCACCAAAGACAGACTTCAAAAATAAGAGTGGGGATAAGTCAACAGAAAAATTACTTAATTTTTACCACTGTGCTGGTTTTAACTGTCAACTTAACACAACCTAGAAACCCGTAGGCAGAGTGTCTTAAAGAGAAATATCTAGATCAGACTGGCTTGTGGGCATGTTTTTGGGAAATCACTTGGATTGTTAATTGATATACAAAGACCCTGGCCATTGTAGGTGGTAGGATTCTCTAGGCCAGGGTTCAGAACAATATAAAAGAAAAAAGCTAACTGAGAGCAAGCAAGCATGGATTTATGTTTTTATTCTCTCTCCACTATTAACTGTGGATGTGATGTTTTAAGTTCCTGCCTTGATGTCCCTCATAATAATGGACTGTAACCTGGACTTGTCAGCCAAATAAACTTCCTCCCATCTGTTGCTTTTTGTCACAACTACAGAAATAAAACTGGAGCAACCACATAAAAAGGCAACACAGATAAAGTCTATGGAAATGCTCCAATATTGAATAAACACCAAAATACATTTGACATAGTTCTGGTCCCAAGTATTTTGAATAAGGGATATTCAGTTTGTATTACATATAGTAGGTCATACTGATTACAATCATGATGCAACTAAAATTAGAATCTCTAAAATAGGGATCATCCAACATATATTCTCCATTCATTTATCCATCACACATATGTTTAAGATATATTGAGTATCAATTTTAGAAGAATCTAATCTATTCACCAGTATTTAGAACTATTCAGAAGGGCTAGGGAGATAGCCAAGTCAATGAACTGCTTACCTTAAAAGACCAATTGAATCCCATCCCCAGAATACATTGAAAACAAAACGAAAACCAAAATAAACAACGAAAAGCATAGTGGCACACGCTAATAATCCAACACAGGGACATCGAAGACAGTATACTCCTGAGGTTCCTTGGCCTTTCAGCTTAGCCTATCCAGCAAGTTTCAGGCCAGCAAGAGGCCCTGTCTCAAGAAATGCAAGTAGTCCCCAAGGAATGACATCTGAAGTTGAACTCTCATCTCCAGATACACATGCACCCTCACACACATGTACACCCACAGCAATGCACATAAACATGCATACATGTACACACATGGATACACTATACACACAGAGACACACACACACACAGTAAGGTTCATTAAATTTAGCTTTCCCTTCAGTGTTAGGTAACAGCATGGAATAATCAGAGCACTCAAGGACAAGAGGGAGAGCTATGGGGATAAAGCAATAGACAATGGAGGAACGAGCCACAGAAGGAATCTGAACTCTCTGATGGAGGCCATGGGGAAGCTATTAGAAGAATTTTAGGAACACAGATGCAATCAAGCATCAATTGTCATGAATGGATTTCGATGGCAGTACAGAAAGCTGATGAAACCAGGTCAAAGTCTGAAGAAAGAAACTCCATTTCAAAACTATGAACTAGAGGCTAGAGAAATGAGTCAGTAGTTAAGGGTGCATATTAGTGTTACAAGCTCAGATCCCAACACCCATGTCAGGAGATCACAACTGCCTGTACCCCAGGTCCACAGGATCAGATGCCTTCTGCCTCCACAGGTATCTGCACTCACATGCACAGACCCCCCATAAAAACAAATAAGGATGTCATGCATGTAATTAAAAATAAAAATAAACTTTTCAAGAAAATATAAGCAAAGGCGTTAGCAAAATAAAGAGGAAATAGACAAAAATACATGTTCAAGAAAACTGAATCAATATGACTTGGTAAGAATTACACAACAACATCAAAAGAATGATAAAAGTTGAGAAAACTCAAGTTCCTAGCTTTGTGATAAATTTCCTCTTACACTTTTTTTTGTTTTTTGGTTTTTTTTTTTTTTGTTTTGTTTTGTTTTTTGTTTTTTCGAGACAGGGTTTCTCTGTGTAGCTTTGCGCCTTTCCTGGAACTCACTTGGTAGCCCAGGCTGGCCTTGAACTCACAGAGATCCGCCTGGCTCTGCCTCCCGAGTGCTGGGATTAAAGGCGTGCGCCACCACCGCCCGGCTCCTCTTACACTTTTAAGTAATTATAATAAAGAAAACAATAGAGAAGAAAGAGTAATTTGGGTATTTGGTGTTATAGCTTCACAAGTGCCAATGTAACATCCCAGTGGTGACATTAAAAAGATACAAGTGTGACATTCAGGAAAACTATGCACACTTGAAGATTTCAGTTAACATTTGCATTACATAAAAATACATAATACCTAAAGCCATGAAAGTCAATGGGCTGTCCCAAAAGAACAAGCAGACTGGAGGTGGGGGGTGGGGGAGGGGCAGAAAAAGAAAAAAACAACAGGCAAAGTTTCTGAGAAAGAATAAAGAAAAGAAAAGCTCAATTCAGGCCAACAGGAACAGCCTGTCAGATGAGGAGGGAGCAATCCAAGGAAGAGTGACTGTGTTAGGAAAAGGGAGAGGAATCACAGAGGTTCAGTCTGTGAAATGGGCCAGGGCAGGTAAGTGTAGACTCGGTAACGCGGGGGCCACATGGTTCTAAAGGAGGAAGCCTCATTTCTATGGATGAAAATGGACATGGAATGAAGAGCTGGAACTGAACTACATAGAACACTTCTGTAAGAGACCTTTGAGATTAGAAGACAAACAGAGAGGTCGTCTACACATACAGCACAGCACTGGCTCCGTTTTAGTTTGGGTTTTACTCTTTTTTTTTTTTTTTTTTTTTTTTTTTCGAGACAGGGTTTCTCTGTGAAGCTTTGCGCCTTTCCTGGAACTCACTTGGTAGCCCAGGCTGGCCTCGAACTCACAGAGATCCGCCTGGCTCTGCCTCCCAAGTGCTGGGATTAAAGGCGTGCGCCACCACCGCCCGGCAGTTTGGGTTTTAATGACAAATACACAGACGTGAGAGTGATGCAGAGAAAGGTACTGATAGAAAGCCAGCATGGTGGCCCCGGGGTGTAGTTTAGGGGAGAGAAGTTGCCTAACACGGACAATGCCCTGAATTTGATTCTAAGCACCAGCAGAGGGTTGAGGGGCCACAACAGAGCACCTGCTGATTCTATTTTTCAAAGCACACAGAGACTGTAACAGGATCAAGATGACCATCTCATATACAACACTTGTCCTGGTTAGTTTTTTTATCAACTGGACACAAGTTAGAGAGACTTAGAAGAGGGCACTGCAGCTGAGAAAATGCCTCCCTGTAGGCAAGCCTGTGGAGCATTCTCCTGATTGATGTGGGAGGTCCCAGCCAACAGTGAGTGGTACCATCCCTGGGCAGGCAGTCCTGGAGTGTATAACAAAGGCCAAGCAAGCCACAAGCAGCAAGTCAGGGAGCAGCATTCTTCCAAGGCCTCTGCTTCAGCTTCTGTTTCCAGGATCCTGCAGGGAGTACATGCCCTGGCTTCCTTTGATGACGAACTGGGATGTAGAACTGTAAACTGAAATAAACCCTTTCCTCCCCAAGTTGCTGATAGTCATGGTGTTTTATCACAGCAATTGAAATCCAACTAAAACACCTCTGTAGGCTGGAGCAAAGGAATGCTGGTATAGGAATATTAACATGCATCTGTACCCACAGAAGCAGGACATCTGGAGAGTTCATGTATGTAAGCTTCGCTTTCTTAGTGGGGACTCCTCTTGAGACGGAAGTAGGCAAGAAGAAGGAAGAGAAGTTGATGGGACAGGCAAGAAGTAATAACTGCTAGGGGACATCAGAGAAAGAAACATCGGTATTCGTCACCTTCCTCATCACTGTGATATATCTAACAGAAGTAACTTTAGAGAGGCAGAATTTCTTGTCACTTACGGTTTGCTAGGGTGTAATCTATCATGTCAGAGGAATTATAAAGAAGTCCATGTGGCTCCACGTGCCTAGGGCTCCTCACATCTCAATCAGAAAGTAGAAATTGCTCAGGCCAAAACCAGGACCAGGCTATAGCCCACAAGACCCTCCCCCTGGCCACTTAGCCCTCCAGTCAGGATGGTATTTCTTACAGGTTCCACAAACTAAAAATGGCACCAAATAGCAGATGGGGACCAAGCCTTAAAACTCAAGATGGGGACTCTTGGGGGGACATTTTATATCCAAACCATAAAATTCACCACCTGCCCCATAGAGGCTTTCCGCCATCTCAGAATGGAAAATGCATCCAATATTCAGTACACTTTAAAAAGCCTCCACAGACTTTAGTAATTTCAGCATTGTTCAAAAGACCAAGGGCTCTTCAACTCAAAGAAAATTCTTTGGTTCAAATGTCTGTGAAACTAAAAGAAAAGAAAAAAAACCACAGCTGTGGAGGTACACACAATACAGAGACAGGCAGATCTCTGTGAGTTCAATCTCAAAAAGAAAAAAGTTACAGCCAGGCAGTGGTGGTGCACACCTTTAATCCCAGCACTCAGGAGGCAGAGGCAGGAGGATTTCTGTGAGTTCGAAGCCAGCCTGGTCTACAGAGTGAGTCCCAGGACAGTCACGGCTGTTACACAGAGAAACCCTGTCTCAAAGAACCAAAAAAAAAAAAAAAAAAGTTACAAACTTCTAATATACAATACACAAAGTAAACACCCCCTTTCCAAGCCGTAGAATATGAGCACAGGAAGGGGATGCCTAACTAAACCAGAACAACACTCAGCGGCGCAAGGACGGAATTTTGCATTGCAACTCCATATCTGACACCCCAGCTCCTGGTGCTAGCTTCTGTGCTCCAGCGGGCCTGGGTGGCCTCCCGTGGCCGGCTGATTACATCACAAGTGGCCTCTCACCTGAGCTGGC